CGCTCACCATCGCCATGCTGACGATACTTTGAAGCGTGATGTCCGGACCCAATGCTCTTTGAGTGTGCATGGGAGGTTGCTAATAAAGTTGGAGGCATATACACAGTCATCAAGACCAAGGTCCCCGTGACTGTCCAGACTTATGGTGACCGCTACACCCTCATTGGGCCCCTCGTTTACAAGACAGCTCCAATGGAGGTTGAATCCCAGGAGCCAACTGACCCCGCTTTAGTCGCTACACTCGAGTCCATGAGAGCACAAGGTGTGAAATGTCTCTATGGACGATGGCTCATAGAGGGTGCTCCCCGAGTCCTGCTCTTCGATACGGGCAGCCAATATCACCGTCTTGACGAGTGGAAGGCCGATCTTTGGAATCTTGCAGGCATTCCCTCCCCCCCCAATGACCACGAGACAAACGAGACCATTGTCTTTGGTTATCTTGTGGCATGGTTTCTCGGCGAGGTACGCGCTGAATCTGCTTCAACTGATTGAATCTCTGCTTACTAGTACTACGCAGTATGTTGCACACAAAGCTCATACAGCTGTAGTTGCACACTTCCACGAATGGCAGGCAGGACTCGCCATCCCCCTCGCTCGAAAACGCCACATTGATGTCACCACCGTTTTTACCACACACGCAACCTTGCTCGGTCGCTATCTCTGTGCTGGAAGTGTCGACTTCTACAATAACCTTGCCTACTTTGACGTCGACCACGAAGCTGGCAAGCGTGGCATATACCACCGCTACTGCATCGAACGCGCCGCTGCACACTGCGCCGATGTGTTTACGACTGTCAGTGGAATTACCGCATGGGAGAGTGAGCATCTCTTGAAGAGAAACCAGATGGTGTCCTTCCAAACGGCTTGAACGTAGTCAAGTTCCAGGCAATGCATGAATTCCAGAATCTGCATGCGACTTCCAAGGAGAAAATCAATGAGTTCGTTCGTGGGCATTTCTATGGTCACTACGATTTCGATCTCGACAACACCATCTATGTACGTCGTGCCGCTCTGTATATTCTTCAACTAATCGCGTCGCACTAGATGTTCACAGCCGGTCGGTATGAGTACCGCAACAAGGGCGTCGATATGTTCATCGAGTCCCTTGCTCGTCTCAATCACCGCCTCCAGCAGAGTGGGAGCAAGACCACAGTCGTCGCGTTCATCATCATGCCCGCTACTACCAATAGCTATACCATTGAGGCTCCTCAAAGGTCAAGCGGTCATGAAGCAGCTGCGCGATACCGTTACTGAGGTACAAGCTCGTGTTGGCGCACGGCTGTTCGAGCATGCCGCGCGGTTCCATGGCGAGGGTCGCACCGTGGTAGCGCCAGAGGACCTGCTAAGCGCAGAGGACCAAGTCCTCTTGAAACGGCGCATTTTCCGCACTCAAGCGACACACACTTCCTCCGATTGTTACACACAATGTGGCAGACGACGCGAACGACCCGATCCTCAACCAGCTACGTCGCGTACGTCTCTTTAATACACCGGGAGACCGCGTCAAGGTCGTGTTTCACCCCGAATTTTTGAACTCAAATAACCCCATCCTGGGTCTCGACTACGAGGAATTCGTGCGAGGTTGCCATCTGGGTGTATTTCCGAGTTACTACGAGCCGTGGGGGATACACCCCCGCGGAGTGCACCGTGGTATGTTGTGTATCATTTGTCTTGTGCGATTTGAACTCATTCGAGTAGATGGGTATCCCTAGCGTGACAACAAACCTCTCCGGATTCGGGTGCTTTATGGCGGATTCAATTCATAGTCCCTCTGACGAGGGCATCTACATTATCGACCGACGCACCACCTCCATTGACGACAGCGTCGACGCGCTCGCGAGCTCGATGTTTAACTTCGTCAGCAAAACGCGCCGCCAGCGGATCAATCAGCGAAATCGCGTCGAGCGACTTTCGCCACTTCTAGACTGGAAGAACCTGGGCCTTGAGTACGAGAAGGCCCGAATGCTTGCGCTTCGGAGGGCGTACCCTGATGCATTCATTGGCGCTGACGAGGACAACGGGGAAGAAGTGGACTGGGGTTTCGGAGAGTTCCCGCTTTCTGTCCAAGCTAGCCCGAGGCTGAGAATCTCGGGACTCGCGACACCAGGCGACATGGGAACGCTTACAGAGGAGGTGGGGCATCATTTTTCTGAAGCGAGTTAGACTGTAATAATTTGCGCCGTAGATGCAAACGTTTGGAGACCAGTGATTACAGGGGCCATTGGTCTCGCACGGGGAAGATGACGAGGATGAATACCCCTTGTAAGCGTTCATCGTTATTTCTTGCCTATTGGGCGTCCTACTTATGCATTCCTGCTCTCAGCCCTCTCGTCATGAAAGTGCGCTCGCGCGCGTCATCCGTGATGTCTGGGGCAAGCACTCCTGGCGGTGGGGCATTCAAAAGCCTCAGTGAGCACGACCTTCAAAAGGCAGACGCTGCGTTGAGCCAGGGTGAACGGCGTATCTGCTACCTCTCCAGTTGTGTAGGCGACGCATCTCTGGCTGAGTGTAGGATCCAAATCCATTGTCTCTGCGATATCAATATGAATAACTCAAAGTTAACTGATTGCTTGTGCTAGGATTCGTAAGCCTTCATGTCACGCATGCTCTAATGTCCTCTAGATACCCTATGTTTGGCCTGGTTTTTGACTTCCAGATCTCATGTTACATACTTCCGCCTGTCACCATCTTTATCATGATCTATGTTCCATTATCGAGATTGGTACCCATGTCTGCTTTCATGTTTTCCCCCCTCTATCGACGACCCATCGTATGCCTTAACCAAAATGTTACATATCTAGCGATTTAACATACGTATCATGAACTATGGTATCAAAGCTCCTGCTTGATTCCAACCGAGCTTCAGAACTTACATTCAATGGAAGAGGTGGCGAAGATGAGCATTTTACGTAAAACTACAATATGGACTTGGCAAGTTGGTGTAAGCCGCGTATTACTCGGACGACCTCTATCATGGCAATCCCTTTGATTCCGCTGGTCATCGCCGCTTTGCTCAGTGGACATGGACTGCGCTCGAGGTCACTCTCTTTTCCGGGCGCCATCACAGCTTTCGTGGTTGGCTTCAGCATGCTTGCAGTGCCTGTGCGGACCCATTGGGGTCACCCTCTTTGCGTTCTACTTAATCGGGTCCAGAGCCACCAAGTGTAGTGCCAATCCGATGAGCCATTCCACTGGCATGTCTTTTAACCCATAACCAGACGGCAAGAAGCGGAAAGCTCAGCTTGAAGATGACTATCAAGAGGCTGGCTACCGATCCGGTGTACAAGTCCTCTGCAACTCATTCACCGCATTTCTCGCAAGTGGATTATGGTGTCTTGTCTTTGCGCCTGATACGTTCCCGTGGAGTCTAGTAGTTAACTCGTACACTCACTCAGGACCCCTATCGGTCGAGAGCGTAGCATACAACGATGGTCAATGGTGTCCATTGGACTCAACGGTATCAAGTGGATTGAGCCGTGCGGTGATGTTTGTGACGCTCGGGTAAGTCCTGCCATTCTGCATGATGCGTCTTGTTCACTGACCTGCAAATACCATTCCACCAGTCACTTTGCCTGCTGCCTGGGGGATACTCTCGCGTCAGAACTCGGTATTCTCTCTTCCCGCCCGCCGATCCTTATCACACGACGCTGAAAACTGTTCCACCCGGTACAAACGGTGGTGTCTCACTCGGCGGAACACTTGCTAGCTTATTTGGTTTGGCCGTGGGTGTAACAATGTTCATCTCACTGATCATTGAGAATGCACACTGCAGAGGCAGTTGGATGACTATCCTTCCGTCACTCGTATTCTGGGGTGGTGTAGCAGGTGCTGGCGGGAGCTTGGTAAGAATAAACCCATATTGGAAGCACGCCATATATTGACGCGACAACACTAGCTGGATTCGTTCCTCGGAGCGACCCTACAGCGCACACGTTACTCAGTCGACAAAAAGGTCATTCTTACTGGCCATTCTGAGCCCACTGATCGCGGGCGGAAAGACACTGTCAAAGTTATCAGCGGACTCAATTTATTGACAAACAATCAGGTAATCTAATATCGTTCTCCACTGTCTTCTTGCTGACTGTTCGACAGGTCAATCTGCTGTCGTCGATAGGGACTGCGCTCGCCGTTGCAAGATTTTCCACGTAGTAGACTTGAACATTTTCTCTGCTTCATCTGTAGACCCTCCCCGATCGTAGTTGTATACTCACAACAATGCTACCATGGAATTTTCCTTGACCTCTTGATGGAGAAAAAAACGTTCAAGTCAGCCCGAGTTCTGTGTGCCGTATCATGGGCTCCGAGATGTGCTCCAAGATGTGACTGTTTGCATCTCAGACATGCCAAATGCAGTTTCCTCGCCCCTTACTCTGACAGTGCTCGAGTCTCCGACTTAAAGCCATGGGCAGTGATCAGAGCACAGAGATGAATATGATAACCAGATATGACAACCCCACCGGTGGGAAACTGGTGATAAGGTGTACGCTGGCCCTTGTGAGAAGATGGACGGGGATATAGGCTCTGCAGTATATGTTGCGGAACGATGTATGACAGTGTAGATAAGCAAACTTCGTTATTATGAGCCAATGCGAATGATTCATACCACCAAGTACTACCAGTGTTTGGAGAGATAAACTAGCAAAGTATACAGACCAAGTACTCGTTTTCTGTGCGAATGCTATGCAAAGAAGGGACTGGTGTGCAGAATGATGAAGAGGCGCCAGGCCTGGGACTGAGCACTATCACATATACATATGAATATCCACACCGTCGCCAACAGCATAAACCGGGAAAGAACTCACGAAATGTATGATAGAATCTGACGTGCTTGGAGAGTAAACCTTTGACGTGTGGGCGAGCGCTAACACGACACATGTGTCTCAATCTGACCACTATTTAAAACCTCAAACCCCCATGGGCGAGCGACACGTGTGTCTATGCCGAAACCTCGAGCTCCAGTGGACGAGTGACACGACGCATGTCTGTATTACACATACATAAGAAGACTTTGACCTGCAAAGAGCGTCCTGGTGACGTGCATGATGCATGACGTGTTGAGGTCCACGTAGATGGCAGCACACGGCATCAGTGCGCTAGAACCCGACATCTTCTTTGAGAACTCTTGAGCGCTATGAATGTTTAATATGTGGGCGGATAATATACTTCAAAATTACGACACCTAGATAGAAGTGGTACTACCTGGCACCTATGAAAAGGCGCTGTATCATACAAATACACTCGCTTTACGGAAGCTGAGAGGATATGGCCATTGGCAATTCAGGGCTGAGAAGCTGCGGCGAAAGGCTGTCGTGCGCCTGTTCCTCGTTCCTTAGGCTCCTGCTAAAGTTTCGTCTGTAACCAAGAATTTTGAAAGTGTGCGGTGAGGAGCGGCACTTGTAGTATTTACTGGCAAGATTCAGAAGGTGTGGCGGGCGTTAATAATTGTGCTTATCGATGAGTCCGTTGTGGTCGGAAACACGTTCTATATGGCCGCCTGGACATGTGATCTATATCGAGGTTTGAGCACATGGATAACAGGCTCGGACCATGAAACACACTGCCAGCGGATTCTGCCACTGGACTATCAATGCTACAGATGCAAAGGAATCTATCCAGATTCACCTAATCTCCGGAGCATATGGGAGCCCATGGTCCAGAGCATCGCGGGCACGCGTAGGATAAAAACATCTGATATCATTTGACTAATTCAGGTTGGAATCCATACTAGATATCCAGCTCCAGACGCCTTGAACTGACCTCCTGTGCCTCCTGCCCAGTTCATTCTCCCTCATTGTACCACCAGCACCGTAGATTGCAATGCAGTCCGCTCACGTCTATTGTATTCATCTTCGATATGCTGACCGTCTCTGCAGGTCTTATCATCGCGACGACCCTGCCGCTTGTCGGCGACTACGTCGCCAATTACATCGCCAAACGGTATTTCCATATCCATATTTCTTTGCTATGGCTCATTCCTTTCTTCTAGCATTAACGAGTATGCCCCGACCGCTGCCAAACCTTTCGTGCTCGGCCTCCCAACCGGCTCTTCCCCTATCCCAACTTACAAGGCCCTTATTAACAAAGTCAAGGAGGGCAGCTTGTCGTGAGTTCTGAACATTCTCAAGTGCTCAAGTGCATTCATCTGTTCATGATTCCAGATTCAAGCACGTCGTCACCTTTAACATGGACGAGTATGTCGGCCTTCCTCGCGACCACTCCGAGTCCTATCACACATTCATGTTCCGCGAGTTTTTCTCCCATGGTCCGTTCATTCTAGTCACTCTCGCTGGTGTAGCCAGAGCTAATTCTATGTATGCAGTCGATATTCCCCCTTCTCAAGTGAATATACTGGATGGGAACGCTGAGGATTTGATCGCTGAATGTAACGCATACGAGTCCCGCATCAAGCAATATGGCGGTATCGAGCTCTTCCTGGGTGGTATCGGAGAGGATGGTCATATCGCATTTAATGAGCCTGGTATGTCTCGTCCCTTTCGCCACCTCACTTTCCTCTGTCCCTTTGACGTTGAATCGATTGTGTCTTTCTCTACCGTTTTCTTCTTGCTTTCATCAGTTGAATAATCCCCTTTCCATCACAGGCTCGTCCCTCGCATCCCGAACCCGCATCAAGACACTCGCTTACGATACCATCCTCGCTAACGCCCGCTTCTTTAACAACAATGTTGCCGCTGTCCCCGCATGGCTCTTACAGTCGGTGTTTGCAACTGTGCTCGAAGCAAGGGAAGTCGTGGTTGTGGTCACGGGCCAGAGGAAGAGCTTGGCTCTTAGCAAGGCAATTGGTGGGTCATGGTTTCAGGCATGATCATGGGTGTTTCTCTTTGGGCTCATTCACTGGTTATTTCTCTGCGGTGTATACTCACTCGTGCATACACAGAGGACGGCGTCAACCACCTTGTAAGCAGGCCCTTTTATAGTACTTTGCAGGAACGCACATTGATGCGACTCTGAATTTAGTGGACCACTCTCGGCGTTGCAGCTCCATCCTTGGGCGTTGATTGTAGTCGATGAAGATGCTACTGCTGGTGCGTGCTGTCGTCCCGATGAAAGATATGACTGACCTTTGGTTGACACATGCCTCCGAATGCTCTACTTTGGTCACCTCACATCCCACCCTTCTTGTCCACCCGTTGTCTCCTCATTCTGAATGAACGAAAATTACGGAACCACCCCCCAGAGCTGCACGTCAAAACGGTGAAGTATTTCAAGTCGATTGAACGCGTGCAAGATGAAGTAGAGCAACGGCAGGAAGAGCTGAAGGCGAGAGGCCGGACAGAGCATCAAGGGCAGGTTGGCAGCATGGAGTGACTTTGTCTGCGCGTATGAGCTACGGAATAGAGCAGAACAGGAAATAAAGATATTTGATGTTTTATCAGACTCCTAATAATCTTAACCATCCGTTATGCCCCCATAACGGAGGTTGTGGCGCGCCGCAACACTAGGAAAGTTCGCCGCAACATTAGGACAGCTTGCCACAACACTGGGACAGCTGACCATGGCATTAGAAAAGGCTGGGTGCATGTTGACTATAGCACAGGTCATGAACTCATTCAAAAAATAAGTGGTCAACAGCTTATTTTGAGATGTTGAGATGAAAATGAAAATGATAGAATTTGATGAGATAAACAAGCAAGCTGCTATCTAGGAGAGTTGGCCATGACCTCAGGAAAGACCTGCCACAAGACTAGGAAGCTTTGTGTCAACTGTAGCACAAGTTATGCACTGGTTCTATTAAGGTCGTGCTCAAGGGGAAGGTTACTCAAAGGGCTTCGGCTTCAGCTCGTGCACTGTGCCCCTTACCCGAGTACATGCCCTTTAATTTCCGAGAGGCAGAGGGGAAGTCCGATGGAAGTCCAGGGAAGTCCAGAGGTCAGATGTGGGGGGAGTTCAGTGGAACTCCGGAAGGTTAGGGGAAAACAGAGCAAGGCCACTCTGGACTTGTCTGGAGTAGAAATGGAACAGAGTTTAGACTACCCTAAGGTAGAGCTGTGTCATATCCCGTACCTCCGGATCTGGAATTCCGGATCTACTTCATTGAAGTTCCGTTCCTCCGTCTTACTATTCCGCCTGGCGCTCCGCCTTCATCTCCGCACTCACCCCTAACTCCTTTTAGATTAACTATTGCTCCGGTTACTGGTTATGTCCTATTCTGCTATGCTTACTGATCCGTCCATTCTTACTTCATTTCTGACTTCACTGCTTTGATCTGTTATACTTAGTAATAGACTTTCCACATGCTTCGTACATAGCCCTTACCTTTGCTGACTGATTTACCTACATGATACCTACAGTATATAAACCCCTGTAATACTCTGGAACTCCTGAGTTCAAATATCATCTTAGTTCTGCTCATTCCTGCAATCTCCGGACTTGAGTCTCACCTCTTGTCCACCTCTGAGTCTTAGGGGTTAAACCTTAGGACTACTTCTCCGGCTCTACCTTAGGGTAGTCTAACCTCTGTTCAGTTTCTACTCTGGACTTCTGTAGTAGCCTTACTTTGTCCCCCGTATAAACCTTCCGGAGTTCCGCTGAACTCCGCCGACACTAAGTCCTCTGGAACTCCCCGGACTTCTGTCGGACTTCCCTTCTGTCCCCCAGAAATTAAAGGGCACGTACTCGGGTAAGGGGCGCAGCGCACAAGCTGAAGCCGAAGCCCTTTGAGTAACCTCTCCCTTGAGCACGACCTTAACAAGCTGGAGAATTAGTCCTAAGGTTTACCCCTAAGACTCAGAGGTGGACAAGAGACTAGACTCAAGTCCGGAGAAGCAGGAATGAGCAGAACTAAGACAATATTTGAACTAAGGAGTACCAGAGTACTACAGGAGTTTATATACTGTAGGTATCATGTAAGTAAATCAGTCAGCAAAGTAGAAGCTATGTACGAAGCATGTGGAAAGTCTATTAGTAAGTGTATAACAGATCAAAGCAGTGAAGTTGGAGATGAAGTACAAACAGACAGATCAGTAAGCATAGCAGAGAGAACATAACCAGTAGCCGGAGAACAGTTATTCTAAAAGGAGATAGTGGGGAGTACGGAGATGAAGGTGGAGCGCCAGGTGGATATCAGGACAGAGAACTGGACTTAAGTGGGGGAGATCCAGAATTCCGGATCCAGAGGTATGGGATATGACAGGCCTCCAAAGGAGGACTGATGGACTACTAGATGAGCGCAGGAATGTTGGGTGGAGATTGGTCCACCCTACAGGGAAGAGTTGGAGGGCTACTGCAGACAGAGCTAACAGTAGGAATGGAGTGGAGGAGACTGCTCAGACAAAGTCTGAAGCAGAACAGAAACAAAGAGGACAGAGGTGCAAGATTATTGGCCACAAGTCTGATGTGCGGGAAAGGCGGCGGAGGTGCGGGAAGTTGGATGAGCAGAGAAGGTGGCCGGCCTAGGGAGTCAATCCCCTAGGCTGGCAAACAGGAGTTGTCAAGGGTTTTTGCCCAAGAACAAGGACAAGAGAGCAGGGCTTAGAAAAGGTAATATTCAGACTAAGGGCCCATTTGACAACCGCTCATTTCGTTTGTTTGGGTGCGTTTCATTTTGAAACGGACGGACATTGAAGTGAAACGGATGCTCCCACGGATGTCACATGCTGTCACACATGTACAAATACATCAGATAATGAATGATAACCATCAGTTTGCTGCTCGAGCTCTACAACTACTAGTATGACCTCATCGCGGAAGAGAAAGGCCCTCAAAGCCTCTCTTAAGGCAACCCACACCCGCAGAAAGAGAGCTGCAGTGCTAGCTGCTGCATTTTCAGCTGCTGCAGTGGCTGTGGCCACCTTGCCCTATCTTGACAAGATTCCCCAGCACAACTCTATCTTGACGGGCCATTCATGGGTCTGAAGCTCTTATCAGGACATCCCCGTCACTTCCATAATATGATGGGCCTTTCCAAGCCAGTATTTCGCCGATTGCTCCATGAACTCAGTGAATATGCAGACCTTGCACATTCAAGATATATCTCTTCCGAAGAACAGCTGGCAATTTTCCTTCGAATCTGCCGTACTGGGAGTACAAATCGGGACATGCAAGAACAGTTCCAGCACAGTGCAAATACTATTTCAAAGTGAGTGCCCAACATTACTATTTAAAATGCAGTAGGATTAATTTATCACTGTGACTGTACTATTAGGATTTTTCTTCGTCTTCTAGACATGGTAGTTTCACCACACTTTTATCAGTGCTATGTCAGCCTGCCACCCAATGATGTAGTCCCCCCTGAGATTCACAGTAATCCTGTTAGGTACTGTGCCGACTCAGGAAGCAGAGAGGTTGGGGCTTGGCTTCAGCTCTTGCGCTGCGCCCTTAGCTGAGTACGTGCCCCAAATTTGGAGTGGGTCTGACGTTGTCCGACGGTAGGACGAATGGTCCGCTTTGGTCCGCTTTGAGGGTCGGGGAGTAAGAGCTACTAGCGGTGGGCCGACTAGGAGCGGAGCGGAGAAGGTGGGGAGTGATGTGGAGAGTGGATAGGAGCAGGGGAATGTTGGTAGGGGCGGGGAAGGCGGAGGATAATGCGGAGGGGCGAAGGAGGATATTTGATAGGGGCGGAGTAATAAGGGAAGGACTTAGAGCATGGCTCTAAGTCGGAGCAGAGGGTTGGAGGGTTGGAGGTGACAACAAGTTGAGACTTGTGTCCAGAGGAGGCAAGGTCCTACTGAGAATTCTCACAAGAGGTAACTGTGAGAAGACAAGTAATATTAAGACTGAGGAAAATATCTAAGTACATGATATGTTATATACTACTATGCATGAGGCAGTGACCAGGATAACTATGTTGTAAAGCTATGTACCAAGGATATAGTTTGTAAGTACTTTACACAGGCAAAGACATAAGTTGGAGTGGATATCAATATGTACGCGTCGGATCAGCGATTGGGTGGTAATAGGAATTACCGGTGATCCAGAAGTAAGGGTCTATGTACCGAAGGGGAAAGTATATATCTAAAAAGGGAAAGAGATCCAGTTGAATGGAGAGGTTATGGAAGGGGACCAGTTGAGTGGTTGAGCGGAAGCATAGAGTGGAATGCAGACTTGTGATTGGATGGAGCGGAGGATGGATGGAGCGGAGGGGGTTGGAAAGCGGAGCAGATATCAATATCGGAGTGGTCGGATCAGGTATATGACAAATCCCAAGCTCTACCCATTTTTTCAACACTGTTGGGGTGCAATTGATGGGACACACATTGATACTTTTGTTCCCAATGATGCCCTGACTGCTCGCTACTGCAATCGGAAGGGCCGCCTCTCACAGAATGTCCTTGCTGCATGCACATTTGACATGCACTTTTCATATGTTCTTGCAGGATGGGAGGGAAGTGCAGCTGACAGCCACACATATAATGATGCTCGGTGAACCGACTTTCCCATCCCCCCAAATCTCTGTTATTTCGCTGATGCAGGGTTTCCATTATGTGACTCACTCCTGGTTCCGTATCGTGGTGTATGCTATCACCTCAAGGAATGGGGTCGTTCAAGTCAAAGGTATGATTTTTTTGCTGTTGATCAACTGTTCAACCTACGACATGCCCAAGCCCGAAATGTTATTGAACACATTTTTGGTGTGGTGAAGCGTCAATTCTGGCTAATGGTTGCTGCCCCAGAATACAGTCTTGTGGTACAGACAAAGCTGGTTCCTGCCCTCTGCGTCTTGCACAATTTCATCTGTGTTCATGATCCAGATGATGAAGAGGAAGGAAATGAGGCGGCAGAGGTGGGCACTGATCAGGCTGTTCAGGCTGTACAGCAGAGAGTTGAGGATTTCGGTCATCCAATCACACCAGCAGAAAGGGCAAGGGCAGGACAAAAACAAGATGATATAGCAGAAGCAATGTGGGCACAGTATATTGAGTATACTGTGAATGAGAACTAGGAAAATCTATCTATATTTTTCTGAGTTCAAGATGAATGTACATAGAATGGAGAGGGACATCTGAAATGGCAGTGTAGGCATCTGCAATAGCTACATACATCCTTGGTAAATAGAGCAACAACCTTGGCACATTCATCAGAAGATAAGGATGCATCAGCACAAACAGCCTGGATGGCATTGATACGTCATTTCGGAGTACTGGGAACATCATCAAGAAAACTAGTAGGAGCAGTGAACAACGTAGCAACAGACTCGAGAGCATCAGCTACTCCGAGAATTGCTGCTGGACCAGTCAGCTTTGCATTGGAACATTTTTTATGGACTCCGGTTGAAGCTGGTGATACTGAAGGAGCATGTCCGTGTTTCGGAACACGTGGAGTGTGAGAAATAGGTGTCAACTGGTGTGAATACGAGTCAGACAATGAAGCAAGCAAATTGATGTACATACCACTTTCTCATCAGCTGATTCAGACTCGTGATTCCCTCCAAGTGCATCCTCACCTATGAAGACATCATTTTCGTCATCAAGGAGAAGTGTGCTTGGCCATGGAGGGCTCGTCTCATACCCAAGACTATTAATATGCAGTGCCCCTTCACCCGTGGCATGACACCCATCCATGAGCACAATGATGTCATCATAGAGGGGGAATGGTCAAATGCCAAACCTTGGCTTCAGGATGGGCCTAAACAGCATTTTAGTCAAGAAATGAACAAAATATGAAAGCTTACCTCGAGGTAATCATCCCACACTTTGTCACTGGCAATGACAATCTTCCTTGTCTCATCCCATCCAAATCCGGACAGCTCTCGCAGTTTTTGGACAATGAGACAGTTGACCTTCAACTTTGAACAATAAATCAGCATGAAAATGGAGGAAAAATACTACTTACAGTGGCCCAACGACATGAGCAACTTTTCACAGTTTTCAGAGCACCCCCACTGGTTTTGTGGCTGTCTTTGAGGGCCTTTGCTGCAGACTTGAAGGTGCCATTATCAGCCAAGTTTCTATCAGCAAAAGTCTTGAGAGAGTCAAGGAGTGTTGCATCATCTCCCGAAATCCACTTTGCATTCTGTGGAATCTTCCTAGTGCTGACAGCCTGCTCTTGAGGTTCCTGCAGTGAATTGATATTCTCCTTGGTATCTGACAAGAGCAAGAGAGAGGGTGGCATGGTGGTAGACTGGTAGTAGTTAACAGAGTAGGGACAGTGGGACATTTGATTGACAAGAGTGAGCAAACAAGTACTAGTGCGACGCTGCATTATGCAGTGTGACAGATTTCTAACGAAACGAATACATTGCCGAACACATTTTTCTGTTTCAAACGAAAATGGACACAAACAGATGAAAACAAATGAAACGGACGCAAATGAGCGGTTGCCGAACGGGCCCTAAAGATCTACAGACAGATGTACATATGTTTATATACTCTAAGTAAGTAGCATAGCATAGCAGAAGGCTATGTGCTGAGTGTACAGGATTACAAAAGAGATAACTGAGATATATGAGAAAGAGGCTCGGAGAATAGTATGTATGCGATGGATCAGAAATCACTCAGGTATAGGGATTACTGGTGATCCAAAAAGAGGAACTATGATACTAAATGGAGATAGGACCAGTTGAGTGGTTCCTAGTCTAGGAGTGGACCAGTGAGGTGGTTGGGCAGACTACCCGTTGGGTGGTGTAACACGAGTGGAACTGAAGGAACCGAGCAGGTCAGAAAAGCGGAGGGAGTAGGAGTAGGATTGGGCGGACCAATAGGGTGGAGGAGTGAAACTCCAGATAGGGTCGGATGGAAGGGGTATAGTGTTGGAGGACATAGAGGTAGTGTCGGAGGAGCAGAACAGGGTCGGGCGGAGGTAGCAGGGCTAGTCCTGCTGAGATGCACTTCATGCATTGTTGGAGAAGGAGGAATGAAGCAGACAGGGAAACAGGGGGTCAGACCAGCAGTAGGGATGCTCACAGGTGGTATTGGATGTGCTCGGATCCGGTATATGACAGACGACAGGGCTTCTTCTCAAGCCTTTTGGAGTTCTGATATTCTTGCTTCAATGGCTAGGAGATCCAATTTCTCGGTAGCCAATGGTAATGCTTGTGGATGGTATCCCATCATGAGGTAGAATGGCGAAGCATTTCATGCAGAGTGATGGCAGGAGTTATGTACAAATTCGGCCATAGGAAGTTTATCTGCTCATGAAGTCTGATCGTTTGTGCAGAATATGCGGAGATATACTTCTAGTTCTTGGTTGACTTGTTCTGTTTCTCCGTCAGTTTGAGGGTGGAATGTGGTTGAGAGAGCAATTTTGTATCCGAGAAGTCTCTAGTTCTAGTGCAAACTTGGCTGCAAATTGGGGACCTTTGTCAGAGATGATTTTGTCATAGAGGCCAAATCGTGTGTAGACACATTTGAAGAATATGTCAGCGACTCCTTCTGCATTGATCATCTTGTTGCAAGGTGTGAGCACCACCCCCTTCATAAGCCCATGGTCTACCACAACCATGACAGAATCAAAGCCATTGGAGGGGGGAAAGTTGGTGATGAGATCAATGGAACATTGGGCAAAGGGGCAGGATGAAGTAGGTGTAGGAATGGGAAAAAGAGGCAGGGCCATCAGGTGTGTATTCACCTTGTTCTGTTGACAAACTGCGCAACCTTCAACATATTTCCTCACAAAGGTGGGAAGACCTGGCCATCAGTAATCCTGTGAGAGTATTTCCTGGGTCTTGAAACGGCTGGAATGACCAGCGGTGGGGCTATCATGATGAAGACTAGGAGTTCTTTATGCAGAGGTCCAGGCGGCACATATGCGGGTCCCTTGAATGTCAAGATGTCATCAGTGAAGGTCCAGTTGGAGAGGGCGGTTTTCATAGGGAGGGGCAGGGAGGGATTGGAAAGAGCATCAATGGGCTGTTGAATCATGACATCAATGGAAGAGGAAATGCGAAGTTTGTCCTGCATTGCAGTATCAATGAGTTTGATGAACAACCCATCTGTCATATCCCATACCTCCAGATCCGGAATTCTGGATCTCCCTTACAAAAGTCCGCTTCTCTCATCCTATTCTCCGTCCAGTGCTCTGCTTTCATCTCTGGGATCACTCCTATCTCCTTTTAAAATAACTATTTCTCCGGCTACCGGTTATGTCCTTTCTGCTTTTCTTACTGATCTGTCTGTTTGTACTTCATCTCTGACTTCACTGCTTTGATCTGTTATGCACTTACTAATAGACTTTCCACATGCTTCATACATAGCTTCTACTTTGCTGACTGATTTACTTACATGATACCTACAGTATATAAACCCTGTAATACTCCGGAACTCCTTAGTTCAAATATCATCTTAGTTCTGCTCATTCCTGCTTCTCCAGACTTGAGTCTAGTCTCTTGTCCACCTCCAAGTCTTAGGGGTAAACCTTAGGACTAATTCTCCAGCTCTACCTTAGGGTAGTCTAAACTCTGTTCCATTTCTACTCCGGACAAGTCTGGAGTAGCCTTGCTCTGTTCTCCCCTAACCTTCCGGAGTTCCACCAAACTCCCCCCACGTCTGACCTCTGGACTTCTGTCATATACCCGATTCAGCCACTCCCAACACCATTCATAGACATCCCTACTATTGGTCCGACCCCCTGTTTCCCTGTCCGCTCCACCCCTCCTTCTCCAACAATGCACAAAGTGCATCTCAGCAGGACTAGCCCTGCTACCTCTGCCTGACTCCGCTCCACTCCTCTGACACTACCCCTATTTCCTCCGACACCATATCCCTACCCTCCGACCCTATCTGGAGCTCTGCTCCTCTGCTCCATTGGTCCGACCGATCCTACTTCTACTCCCTCCACCATCTCTGCTTTTCCGACCCACTCAGTTCCTCCAGTTTCTCTTGTGTCGCCTCACCCGACCGCTTCACCAGTCCACTCCTAGACTAGGTACCACTCAACTGGTCCTATCTCCATTTAGTATCATAGTTCCTCCTTTCGGATCACCAGTAATTCCTATACTGAAGTGATTACTGATCCGTCGCGTACATACTGTTCTCTGAGCCTTTTCTCGTACAGTGGCTCAAAAAACTGTCCACATGTTTTCACATTTTTCACTATCTATGATATTGTGTGAGAATATACAAACACATCAAGGACATGCTGGTGCCATATTGGAGTACCACTCCAGGGCTTCCAATTGAGCCCTATGGTGTGGGAATTGGTTGAGATATGGTGGAGATATGAGGCTTACAAAATGATGACTCATGTGGACAGTTTTTTGACTCAAGTATATTACAGTGATAATTAGGTATTCTAGTACATTGTGTGACCTCCCTTGGCTTTAATTACTGCCTCTATCCTTCTAGGCATACTCTCAATTAATTTCTGGTAATATTCTGCTGTAATCCTTGTCCATTTCACTACTACTCTCTCCCATAGCTCCTATACTCCTTTAGGGGGGTTTCATAGGCTTGAAGCTTCTTCTTGAGTGTTCCCCAGAGATGTTCAATGACATTGACATCAGGGGACTGGGCTGGTCAGTCAAGAACATTGATATTATGTTTTTTAAACCATTGTCTGGCTCTTCTAGATGTGTGCTGGGGATCATTATCCTGTTAGGAAATAATGTCTTTTTCATCAATCCCTAATTCAGCTATGCTGGATAGCAAGTAGTCATTTATAATGTCTACATACTGCTCAGCATCCATCCTCCCCTCAACTTCAGCAAGTATACCCACACCATTCCATCCCATACAGCCCCGTACCATTAGAGAACCTCCTCCAAATTTGACAGTCTGACTAACCTCTCTGTCTGTTAGAAAATCCCTCTTCTGTTTCCACACATATACCTTCCCATCTGACCCAATCCTATTGATTTTGGTCTTATCTGACCATATAACATGCTTCCAGTCCTCTACAGTCCAGTTTTGATGGGCCAAGCCAAAGGTAGTCTTCTCTGTCTATGTTTGATAGAGAGAAGAGGCATTTCTTTTTTGTTACTGTCTTGAGATGAACTGCCTTGAGAACATCCCTCACATTTTGTGAAGAGACAGTGGTGGTGATGGTGGAATTGATATAATGGGTGACTTGGACAGCATTATTAGCCTTTCCTATAGTGATATGTTGGATGATAGCCATCTTATTAGCAGAGGTGGATGTCCTCCACAAGAGTTTTCCTTGTCCAGATGGCTTTCTTTGATACACTTGGCCACAGTAGACTTGCATACTTCAGTTCTAGAGGAAATTTGATGAACAGAGAGGTCAGCATAGGACAAAGAGAGGATATTGTCCCTTTGAGCAGAGGAGATGGCTTTCATGGTGATTATGACTATGACACATGAGACATTCTAGTTTATATAGTTAGATATAGTTTTAAGAGTATGCCTAGAAGGATAGAGGCAGTAATTAAAGCCAAGGGAGGTCACACAATGTACTAGAATACCTGATTATCACTGTAAAATATTTGAGTCAAAAAACTGTCCACATGAGTCATCATTTTGTAAGCCTCATATCTCCACCATATCTTGGCCGATTCCCACACCATAGGGCTCAATTGGAAGCCCTGGAGTAGTACTCCAATATGGCACCAGCATGTCCTTGATGTGTTTGTACATTCTCATAAAATATCATAGATAGTGAAAAATGTGAAAACATGTGGACAGTTTTTTGAGCCACTGTATGTAAGGAGTGATGTGAAAAGACAAGATATCTTAATATTGTAAAGAATGGGGGTAGGGTAGTATGAAGCTGGGAAAGGGATCTACAGGTTGCCATACATAGCGAAATTAGTATGCATGGAGGTCAACCAGATTGTATGTGGTATAATCTGAGCAGGGGGGTTCTGGCATAGTTGTGCACACTATCCCTGAGGAACCAAGTTCATACCATCTGATCTCCCTTGTCAATGCAAATGCCATGTCTGACCAGGCAGCCAGAATAACTCACCATGACACCTGTGTTATATGCTAGCTCAATTCCGAGGTTGGTCAACTGCATGATAGTGTGTGGGTAGTTCCCAATGCAAGTCAATATGTCAAATGCCTTGGGTGGACACTTCAGGTCTCTGTGGTTGGGGGACTGATAGTTGCACATAATGGAAACACCAGTGTAGATGGAAGCCCAATGCTTCGAAGCCCAATGCTTCAGCAAACAATGCATGTCATGTAAGGCTTGCTCTGCTGACCAATGGCCAAGTTTGACATGAGTCCTGACAGTAGCCCAGTAAAGCCGAGGGTGCATGATGTGCAAGGTAGCAGACACAAGAGGGTGGGTCTCTGCATATCAAATATCATGGATAGGCTCCTGTCACCCTTCAAGGAGGTAGAGACCTCCAGTTTAAACCCGTAATCCAGATTGTTGGGAGGAGGGCCATAGCAACTGCCCCATATAAATAACTATTGACAATCGGACAGCAGGACTCACCTCATATCCTTGTTGGAACCAGCAAGGTGTTATATTGATGCATCCAGGCATCAATGCAGGGTCTTCAAGAGGTCAGAAGTTGGACCCCATGTCCTCCAATTAGCTGATTCCCTGTTGGTGACACTCTTCTGGAGTAGATCACCCATGGCAATGGTGGTCATGTATATGTTGTTCTATCGGGATCTCGGTCAACTACTTCCAAATGATAGTTCTACATGAGAAACTTGCATGCACCCAGGGACTCAGGGCATTCAGGATGTACCAGAGAATGATCCTGTGGCCAGAATCAATTACTACCAAATGGTAGTCCAAGAGTATCTTCTCAGGGGGAGGGAACCTCATCACAACTCCTCTTTCTGGGCATCTTTCATACCAGATTCTCATTTGGCAAGGGCCTGTTGTACTGGATGATGTTAATGTCCAACTTGACTGAGTTCAGGGGCAGTCAGGAAGACATAGATGCACTTACTTGGGTGTTGATAAGCATTGGCCATGAGCCAGGCAAGCTGGCTGCATGAGAGCAATGTGGGGACATTCATCCCGGGCAGAGGGTCCACCAAGGGTCTGCTAGCTATATCAATGTTAATTCAAAAAATGGTGATTTGTTGTGTCACATAATCTGTTGCCATGCCCACACACATGGTCCCCCCAGGGAGCTGTGCATGTTTCAGTCATATGTGCACAACTGTTCACAGAGATCATGCGAGACAATGCCTCAATGTTGATTCAACAACCAGTGGTGTGTCAGTCATATGTGCACAACTGTTCACAAAGATCATGTGAGACAATGCCTCAATGTTGATTCAACAACCAGTGGTGTGTCATCTCATGTGACCTGTTGTAGCGCCTACTGTCGCAATCCCCCCAGGGAGCTGTGCATGTGGTGAGTGGATATTCTGGATAATGGCACACCTACCAGTAGTAGACTTGGAATTCTGCCCCTAATGAATTGGAATAAACTTCACTTATTCTACACTCTTCATCATCTTCCTACCCCTAACCTAACCAACCAACTATGGTGCAAATTTGAAAAGCCAAATGTTTGGCTCACTTGCAGAGGGTGTGTGAATGGGAGGACAATTTGAGAGCTGCAGGAAAGGCACAGGAAATGGTAAGTCTTCAGTTCATCTGTGTTATTTCACTCACTAATTGCACCCTATAGGCGAGACAGCCCTCCCCTGCTGCACCACTAATGCAGAGGAGGCATAAACCTTAGGCTCTGGTCCCTCGACCTGGCGTCTATCTTGGTACATACTTACATGCTGCTGGTGCTGCAGTGCCACTCTATGAAGTAAGTTCCTCTCTTTTTCTTTGCTCACCTTCCCCGACACAATCATGAGATGGGTATGTTACCCCCACCTGCACTGTCACCTCCACCCCCACCTACACTGTCACCCCCACCCCCACCTACACTGTCACCCCCACCCCCTTCTGCGCTTTCGTCCTCACTCCCATCCCTAACCCCTATCTTTTGCCTGGTGATCAAGGGAGAGGGAAGTGACCTTCTCCATGTCCTGCCCAATATGGGGGGACAACTTAGGATCAAGGAGGAACTGCTAGACTTCAAGCTGGAGGATGGTGAGAGGAAGCAGGAGGAGTTCATCAAGAAGGAGGAGGTCATCAAGCAGAAGGCAATCAGCTAGGATGTGAGTGATCCTGTGAGTTGTTGTTGTTGTTAGCTGCTTCATCCAGGAACCATTGCATCAGTGTACCTACTATCTTTAAAGTAGCTAGATTAATAGTGTTACTTACCTCATCACAACCTTTCTGTAACAGTTATAGCTGACCTACTGACCTACTCAACCTAACTAACCACAGGAACAGGACAACAAACAACAGGATGACTAGATTGGGTGAGTTCCAGAACAATCAGGCAGAGATGGCAGGGGGTGGCATAGTTAGTATAGTAGATCAATTCTGTCATATACCAGATCCGACCACTCTGACAATATTGATATCTGCTCACTCCACCCTATTCCCACCTTCCACCCACTTCTGCTCCACCTGTCTCCACTCAACCCAGTTGGTCCCTGCATCTGCTCATACACTTCTGCTCGACTACCTTGTCAGTTACCATCTGCATAGCTTCCATTCAACTGGAACTCCTTACCTCATTTAGGTATATACTTTCCCCTTCAAAACATAGCTCTTACTTCTCGGATCACTGGTAATTCCTATAACCACTTGATTACTGATCTGTCGTGTACATATTGATATCCACTCCAACTTATGTTTTTCTGCTGTAGTAATACTTACAAATTGTATACTCAGCACATAGCCTTATGCTATGGACTACTGATCACTGCCTCTTTACTTAGAAGTATATAAACATATCATATACTTAGCTGGTAGCCTCAGTCTTAATATCACTTGTTTTCCCTTAGTTTCTACTGGTGGGAATTATCTGTAGGATTTTTCTCACTCCTGTTAGGTACTGTGCTGACTCAGGAAGCAGAGGGGTCGGGGTTTGGCTTCAGCTCTTACACTGCGCCCTTAGCCGAGTACGTGCCCCAAATTTGGAGCGGGTCCAACATTATCTGACAGTAGGACGAGTGGACCGCTTTGGTCTGCTTTGAGGGTCGGGGAGTAAGAGCTACTAGCAGTGGGCCGACTAGGAGTGGAGTGGAGAAGGCAGGGAGTGATGTGGAGGGTGGATAGGAGCAGGGGGAAATGTTGGTAGGGGCGGGGAAGGCGGAGGACAATGCGGAGGGGTGAAGGAGGATATTTGATAGGGGTGGAGTAATAAGGGGAAGACTTAGAGCATGGCTCTAAGTCGGAGCAGAGGGTCAGAGGGTCGGAGGTGACAACAAGTTGAGACTTGTGTTAAGGTCATGCTCAAGGGAGAGGTTGCTCAAAGGGCTTCGGCTTCAGCTCGTGCGCTGCGCCCCTTACCCAAGTACGTGCCCTTTAATTTCTGGGGGACAGAGGGGAAGTCCGACAGAAGTTCAGGGAGTTCTGGAGGACTGGTGTCGGTGGAGTTCGGTGGAACTCCGGAAGGTTTATGTGGGGACGGAGTAAGGCTACTACGGAAGTCCGGAGTAGAAACTGAACAGAGGTTAGACTACCCTAAGGTAGAGCCGGAGAAGTAGTCCTAAGGTTTAACCCCTAAGACTCAGAGGTGGACAAGAGGTGAGACTCAAGTCCGGAGATTGCAGGAATGAGCAGAACTAAGATGAAGAGTCAGAGGTATAGTCAAAGGAATCAATCCTAAGACTCGGAGATTGACAAGAGACAAGCTCAAGTCCGGAGGTACAGGAATGAGCAGGAACTAAGGTGATATTCGAACTGAGGAGTTCCAGAGTATTACAGGGGTTTATATACTGTAGGTATCATGTAAGTAAATCAGTCAGCAAAGGTAAGGGCTATGTACGAAGCATGTGGAAAGTCTATTACTAAGTGTAACGGATCAAAGCAGTGAAGTTGGAAATGAAGTAGGAATGGACGGATCAATAAGCATAGTGGAAAGGACATAACTGGTGACCGGAACAATAGCTAATCTAAAAGGAGTTAGGGGTGAGTGCGGAGATGAAGGCGGAGCGCCGGGTGGAATAGCAGGAACGGAGAACCGGACTTTAATGGAGTAGATCCGGAATTCCGGATCCGGAGGTATGGGATATGACACTTGTGTCCAAAGGAGGCAAGGTCCTACTGAGAATTCTCACAAGATGTAACTGTGAGAAGACAAAGACTGAGGAAAATATCTAAGTACATGATATGTTATATACTACTATGTATGAGGCAGTGACCAGGATAACTATGCTGTAAAGCTATGTACCAAGGATATAGTTTGTAAGTGCTTTACACAGGCGAAGACATAAGTTGGAGCGAATATCAATATGTACGCATCGGATCAGCGATCGGGTGGTAATAGGAATTACCGGTGATCCGGAAGTAAGGGTCTATGTACTGAAGGGGAAAGTATATATCCAAAAGGGGAAAGAGATCCAGTTGAATGGAGAGGTTATGGAAGGGGACCGGTTGAGCAGTTGAGCGGAAGCATAGGGCAGAATGCGGACTTGTGATTGGACAGAGCAGAGGATAGATGGAGTGGAGGGGGTTGGAAAGCGGAGCGGATATCAATATCAGAGTGGTCGGATCAGGTATATGACAACTCCAGACACAAGTCTCATTTTGTTGTCGCCTCTGCTCCTCCGCTCCAACTTAGAGGCACACTCTAAAGTTATTACTCTTACTCCCCTCCATCCAATAAATTAATCCCCATATTCCTTTCTGCTCTGACTCACTTCCCTCCATCCATCCACCCTGCTTCTAGTCAGCCTGCCGCTAGTAGCCTTTACCTCTCAACCCTCAAAGCAGACCAAAGCGGACCACCCATCCAATTGTTGGACGACATCAGTCCTGCTCCAAATTTGGGGCATGTACTTGGCTAAGGGCATAGCACAAGAGCTGAAGCTAAGCCCTGACCCCTTCGCTTCTCCATCTGAGCATGGTACCTAATAAATTCCAGTCTTAGTTACATAAGAATATATTGTTATTGTTCAGATGTGTTGCTGAGGATTGTCTGTTTGTGTATTAGGTTTTGATTGGGTTGGGAGGTGTTAGGTACCATGCCGACTCAGGAAGCAGAGGGGTCGGGGCTTGGCTTCAGCTCTTGCGCTGCGCCCTTAGCCGAGTACATGCCCCGAATTTGGAGTGGGTCTGACGTTGTCCGACAGTAGGACGAATGGACCGCTTTGGTCTGCTTTGAGGGTCGGGAAGTAAGAGCTCCTAGCAGTGGGCCGACTAGGAGTGGGGCGGAGAAGGCGGGGAGTGATGCGGAGAGTGGATAGGAGCAGGGGAATGTTGGTAGGGGTGGGGAAGGCGGAGGATAATGTGGAGGGGTGAAGGAGGATGTTTGATAGGGGCGGAGTAATAAGGGGAGGACTTAGAGCATGGCTCTAAGTCAGAGCAGAGGGTCGGAGGTGACAACAAGTTGAGACTTGTGTCCAGAGGGGGCAGGGTCCTACTAAGAATTCTCACAAGAGGTCACTGCGAGAAGACAAGTAATATTAAGACTAAGGAAAAATATCTAAGTACAGGATATGTTATATACTTCTATGTATGAGGCAGTGATCAGGATAACCATATAGTAAAGCTATGTACCAAGGATATAGTTTGTAAGTACTTTACATAGGCGAAGACATAAGTCGGAGTGGATATCAATATGTATGCGTCAGATCAGCGATCGGGCGGTAATAGGAATTACCGGTGATCTGGAAGTAAGGGTCTATGTACCGAAGGGGAAAGTGTATATCTAAAAGGGGAAAGAGATCCAGTTGAATGGAGAGGTTTATGGAAGGGGACCGGTTTGAGTGGTTGAGCGGAAGCGTAGGGCGGAATGTGGACTTGTGATTGGATGGAGTGGAGGATGGATGGGGCGGAGGGGTCGGAAAGTGGAGTGGATATCAGTATTGGAGCAGTCGGATCAGGTATATGACAGGAGGGGAGGGGATTAAGTGTCACCTGGGTCTAAAGAATGAATTGTTAGACAGAGTCTAGCCATTGGTTTCCTTGCACACACGTAAAGGACACTACCCAGTAGCAATCCCCTTAGGATGAGTATTTCTCTTGCACCTTTGGAAGAATACTGACATAGTTGGTATCTATTTTCCTCAACCCACAGTGGTGTATAACCCCTTCCCGGGGCCCAATCCCCCAACTACCTGAGTCAGAACTGGGTGCAGCCTAGTATGGCTGGCATCACCAGTAGTATGAATGAGGTGCTGCCGTTTTCTGGTGTTGATAGTGTTGATGGGGAAGTAGCCTCAAACTTGTCCTCCTTTAATGCCTCACTGAAGACTAGTGTGAAAAATGCCAGTGCCACCATGAATGTCAAGCATTGTTGCCTAACTATGTTAGTAATCTTCCAAGGGTGCGAGAGAAAGACTTGTCCCAAGGGGATTGATACTGGGTAGTAGTCCTCTAGTAAAGTGCGAGGAAAGCAAAGATCATCATTGTGTATACAGTGGCTCAAAAAACTGTCCGCATGTTTTCACATTTTTCACTATCTATGATATTGTGTGAGAATGTACAAACACATCAAGGACATGCTGGTACCATATTGTAGTACTACTTCAGGGCTTCCAATTGAGCCCTATGGCGTGGGAATTGGTCGAGATATGGTGGAGATACGAGGCTTACAAAATGATGACTCATGCGGACAGTTTTTTGACTCAAGTATTTTACAGTGATAATCAGGTATTCTAGTACATTGTGTGACCTCCCTTGGCTTTAATTACTGCCTCTATCCTTCTAGGCATACTCTCAATCAATTTCTGGCAATATTCTGCTGTAATCCTTGCCCATTCCACTGCTACTCTCTCCCATAGCTCCTATACTCCTTTAGGGGGGGTTTCATAGGCTTGAAGCATCTTCTTGAGTATTCCCCAGAGATGTTCAATGACATTGACATCAGGGGACTGTGCTGGTCAGTCAAGAACATTGATATTATGTTCTTTAAATCATTGTCTGGCTCTCCTAGATGTGTGCTTGGGATCATTATCCTGTTGGAAAATGATGTCTTCTTCATCAATCCCTGAGTCAGCTATGCTAGGCAGCAAGTGGTCATTTAGAATGTCCACATACTGCTCAGCATCCATCCTCCCCTCAACTTCAGCGGGCATACCCACACCATTCCATCTCATACAGCCCCATACCATTAGAGAACCTCCTCCAAATCTGACAGCCTCACTAACCTCTCTGTCTGTTAGAAAATCCCTCTTCTTTTTCCATACATATACCTTCCCATCTGACCCAATCCTATTGATTTTGGTCTCATCTGAACATATAACATGCTTCCAGTCCTCTACAGTCCAGTTTTGATGGGCCAAGCCAAAGGTAGTCTTTTCAGCTTATGTTTAATAGAGATAAGAGGCATTTCTTCTTTGTTACTGCCTTGAGATGAGCTGCCTTGAGAACATTCCTCACAGTTTGTGAAGAGACAGTGGTGGTGATGGTGGAATTGGTATAATGGGTGGCTTGGAGGGCATTATTAGCCTTTCCTGTAGTGATATGTTGGATGATAGCCCCCTTATTAGCAGAGGTGGACGTCCTCCACAAGAGTTTTCCTTGTCCAGGTGGCTTTCTTTGATACACTTGGCTGCAGTAGACTTGCATACTTCAGTTCTAGAGGAAATTTGATGAGCAGAGAGGCCAGCATAGGACAAAGAGAAGATATTATCCCTTTGAGTAGAGGAGACGGCTTTCATGGTAATTATGACCATGACACATGAGACATTCTGGTTTATATAGTTAGATATAGTTTTAAGAGTATGCCTAGAAGGATAGAGGCAGTAATTAAAGCCAAGGGAGGTCACACAATGTACTAGAATACCTGATTATCACTGTAAAATACTTGAGTCAAAAAACTGTCCGCATGAGTCATCATTTTGTAAGCCTCATATCTCCACCATATCTCGACCAATTCCCATGCCATAGGGCTCAATTGGAAGCCCTGAAGTAGTACTACAATATGGTACCAGCATGTCCTTGATGTGTTTGTATATTCTCACACAATATCATAGATAGTGAAAAATGTGAAAACATGTGGACAGTTTTTTGAGCCACTGTATGTGTATTGTCTCAATTAATCCCTGAGAACTTGGCCTTTGCCCAAGGTTTGCACTTTGCCTTTGCCTTGTTCATTGCCTTGCCCTTGGTGGGTGCAACCCTGTGCTCCTTGGTCCTCTATGATGACATCATCATTAGGGTTGTTGATGACCATCTCACCTCACATCACTTGATGGATTTTGTTAGCGACAACTAGTTATTTGTAGCAGTAGGAGTCATGTTAATACAATCCATCAATCTCAGTGTTGTGAGCCCTATCACCTATGTTGGTGGCCAAGAACTCTGCCAGCATTCTTACCCTTGCCCTCACTGTTATTGATTATTAGCACATTCACTGTGCCAAGAACAACCATGTTGTACATGATGGTGGTTTCCTCTTGTCCCAGGCACCACATGTATTCAATAATTTGATTGGCCAGCATTTGCAACTAGCACTGGTTCTAAGGATGTGTGAATTGTCAGACAAGTCAGCCAAGTGACAAAACATACAAAGAGAATGGCAATGCTTGTGACCATGAGATTGAGACTGACAGTGCCAACAGTCAAGAATAAAAAATCCCAGGCTGATGGGTTGGTGTTGAACTTTTTGATAATCACATTCCACTCATCCACAGTATGTCCACCATTGAACATCAGCAGCTCAATGTTGTGCAATTTGAGGACCTATAGTGAAGTGTATTGTTAAACTGAATAACTCAGTCAATTTTATGGAGAACACTCACTGATACCAGGAGGGGGGCCATCATTGGGAACTCCATATGCACAAGGATCTTATGTCACCCCATGGTCATGAGGTGGGGCAAATCTATATTATAGGTGTTTCTGACCTCATTGACAGGTGGCACATTGACTTGCTCTATGTGCAGCTGTTGATCAAAATTCTGGAATACTCCATGATCATTGGACTCAAGATGCCATGTCACCAACATGATGAGGCAATTAGTCTTCATTGATCTCATGTCATCCCATTCCTGAATCATCTTCACAGTGGAGTAGTGAGGCAAGTCATAAAATGGAAATGCAACCTTGGTGTGACCTTTGAGGTAGACTTTCTATGGAGGGCAAGTCAGTTGCAGCTCCCTGAGGGGCCTATGTGTGCACATACATTATTAAATGCAGCACTACTGTTAAGCATGTTAGGCATCAACCTATAAAATATGAGTAATATTGTCAGTGATACTGCAGTCCCCTGAGGGAGCTATGTGCTTACCCACCAGTGATATTGTTATTGAAACTGTTGAAGATTGCCTTCTTCATGCTGGAGATGTGTACTGGGATAAAGACCATCTTGTATGGTGGTAGCGTGTTGTTGATTTTTCCCCATCATATCTGAGCAAGTCTACAGTGCAATGGATGACTTGCTTGTCTTATACACATCAGATCTTGGAAATCCAGTCCATGAGGATCTCATGGACGTGAGTCCTGGCAGCAGAATCCTGGTACTTAGTTTTTGCCCTAGTTAGTAACTTAATAGTTTTCATTGCAGCTAATACCTTATCCTCCTTAATAATACATTAATGAGCTGCACATAACTCCTTAGACTGGTCTTTCTCACAGTTGTCTCCCTTGTGGCCAATGAAGTATGGGATGTGGGCCAGACGACCAAGGTTGCATAAGTTCCTAACCCAGATGCATTCCAACACTACATGAAAAGTAAGCCAAGGCTGCCAATGCTGCCTGGCTCACAGGAATAGAGGCCCCATAAGGTCTGAAGGCTTCTGAAGTGGAGAGGGTCGACAATGCTGCTGACACTGATACCTGGTTGAGCTTGAGTGACAACCCATGGTGTCTAAATGCTTGTAACATTAAGAAGACTGCAGAAACCAACTGGTTCATAGACCTATTGGATGCAAGTTTGGAGAAGGTCTCCACTAAGAGAAACAAAGAAGCTCCTCTTGGTAAGTCAGATCACTTGATTTGTAAAGATTATTTCTAACATTTTATGTATGACAGTAGTGCAAGGTCCCTCAACAAAAGATATCTTTGGAGAGTGGGGGAGATACCTCTAGCCAATGGCAAGATGATCAAGAAACAAACCTTTGTTATGATGGATGGTGGCATCACTCACATCAATATCACCAACAATCTTTGGGAACAAACCAGGGTTAAAGACCTGCAATGAAGTCCACGGCAATGATGAAGATCCATACTCAGATGAAGAGTTCACCTGTACTTTTTAGGCACCTGTACCTGGGAGATTGATGGTGTAATACATAAATGTATGATAGACTATAGGTTGTCCATAGCCCTAGTGCAATGCCTGTCCATATTGAAGTATACTGTCAGGCATTCCTGGCTATATATATGGAGTGCGGATGTGAGAACCATCATCTGGAATCATTCAGTAACATATCTTTGAAGTCAAGGCTCACCAACTAACTATCTATATATTACAGTAAGCACAATGCGACAGGACAGTAAACTTACCTGAGACATGATGAATGGATCACTGATGAACCTTGAGAAGCCAATCATCCATGATGAGGAGGCACCACATGGTCTGATGTGAAGTCTCTGTATGATAACAATCTCCCACTATCATGAGGGGGAGTGCCCATGCTGATATGTCCTCTGCACACAAACATTTAGCCTTAGCAGAGAAGAAACATAATGAGACACAGACCTCATGAGTGCAATCAAATAAAGTTCATTAAAAGAGGAGCATGCAGGGCTTGGCAGCTGATGTATGATTGAAGATGTCTCTCACCTAGACAGAGTCAATATTTCTATCAGAAACATCTCTGTAATCAGGTTGTGCCACTATTCATTGGAGGAGGTGGATGAGGTCCTTATGTATTCCTTAGACTGGTAGTTCATGTCCATCCATGTTCTCCTTCCAGTCACAACTAGGATATCACAAACAATATTTAAGAGTATTTTAAACCTAGGATCAGGAGTCCCCATCCTAACATTGAAGCATCAACTGTTCCCCTTGCTATGGCACATACACGCAAATGTTGAAAGTCCAGATACACAAAGTGCATGTACATAGAATATTGAATCATTCCCAACACAAGAACATGGAAGCAAAAAAAATTATTTAATACAAAATGAATACCTAATATTGTTATGCTCGGCGTCATAAGACATCTTTATAAATCAAAAGTCAAAGTCAAGTGGTATCCTTATACCGAGTTGTTCAAGAAAGCTAGTAGATTGCAGGCCCTGGTCTGCGTAGGTCAAGTTAAAAATACAGGAAGGAAGACAACAGTTTAAATAAGATAGCCATTGAGAAATGGGAAAAGGAATCATACAATAGAATGTGATAGAATGTGATGGAATGATTAGGAATAGAAGGGAAAAGAGTACAACCATAACAAATATGTATGAAAGAGGTGAAGGGCAAGAAAACTATATCCTGTTTCTGCCAAGGACTGCTAGTACTCACTTCCAATGCCCACATCTTTTAGAACTTCTCCACAAAGTCCCTCCAGGTCATCTCCCCTATCCACAGATTATTAGCCACCTGCTGTACTTCCACTCACTTAGGCTCCAAGATTAGGATGATGGAAATTGAATTCAAGTCAGCCAAGAACTAGTGGAATTCCTCACACACTGGTGGTGATAACAGGACACAATGTACAAAGCTAAGGGATCCTTCCAAAAGTTATTTCCTGCAATATTAATCAAAGTCAGTAGTTAGAAGAAATAAAAATGTATGAAGATGCCACCTTTGGCTATCCAATGCCACTGCCTCCTTGACCAGGGGTGTGGGTGATATTTATGCCCCTCATGCTAGTGTTCTAGCAATAACACCTCCTCCTCATGCCAAGTGTCAAAGAATTTACTGGGCTTGTTCAATTCCACATAGGCCTGTGGCTTGATGATCTTCTTAAAGTCTTTTAAAGCTTTTCAGAAGACCTTTGATCTATCACTGCATGTATGGTGGGGGCACCAGCAGATCAAGGCCCTCTTTGTCTATCACCCAGCCCTGTTCTGCATTTGCTTTAGGTGGTGTAAGGATATCACTACAGAAGATTGACTAACCAAAAAATGGTTTGTTTTCAGCACTGAGAGGGACTACTTCTAAGAACTCTGGTCCTTCTTTCTTGGTAATGCAAAGTCCTTGTTCAACCAGTTGCAGAGGGACTGGACCTTCTATTTATCCAGTATCTTGATATGCTCTGCTGTAGACTTTATGTTGTAATGCAGACCCACCAATTGATCCACCACCAGAAGCCTTGTCTAAATGTGAGTGACAAGGGTCATCACACAGTTCTGTCTGCAAATTGTCACCATGTCTTTCTGCTTCTTTGTCCCCCTTTCAGCCTCCTGCATCCAAAGTTTCCAGACCTTGATATATGACATGATGTAGTAGCACAACTCCAGCCACAGGCCCATGTACCTGAATAGCAGTGGGACATACCCTATGTGCTTCTTACCTGAAAAATAGGCACCTGGGCCATGGTGTAGGCTTGGTGGTCTTTTGGATTGGTAGCTAGCAACTCCTCTGGGATGCTGTAGGTAATTATAACCCCACCATTGAATAGGTACTTATTCAAGACTATTTCTGTATCATTTGTTAGGATTGAAAATGAAGTTATTGACTGAGCAAGTGATCTCAGCAGCCATGGTAAGATCTTTCATTTGGCCCTTATGACAACCATAACATGTGTCTTAATTCTGGAAGTGCCATTTGCCTTGTATGTTTTACTAGGAGTGGTCTTTGAGGGATGTTTAGCAGTTGTCAGGGAGTGCCTAGCTATCTGTTTGGTGCATGCTATAATAAAACAAGATCAATGAATGAGATTGTGGAATGAAAAGAGAAGCAGATATTGTAGGGTTCACCATGTGTGGCTTTGTTTGGTTATGGTTCATTTTCACATCACAATGTCAAGTCTTTGGAAAGAGTCCCTGTGGCAAAGTAACACTAGATATGTACATACCAGCAAGGGTTGACAAATTTTCTACCAAAGCCTTATACATGTACTAAAGCAACAGAAAACATATTAAGGTTAGCTGTTAAAAAATAGCACACATCCAAACAGACTTGACAACAATCTCATGAATAAATATCACTGGTTTATTTTAGTACTCAAAGGGCAACACTTCAGATGCATGTTCTTTAGCAGATGATGTTTCACCCAAAGCTGCATGGTTGATTGGGATTGCAGAGGATTGAATTGTTAGATGGGATTATGGACTCAATAACTAACATTCTGGACCATGGAATGACCACTGACATCTTTCATGGGATGTCCTTCCCATGAATGAGTATTTTTGCAAGTATAAGCTTCTGTGGGTGACCATCTAATACAGTTGCTGCTCTCTAAAAATGTGCATCAGCTGCATCAGTGAAACATGCAAGAATACTGCAGTATTTTTCATTGGTATGTTGTTTCTTAATCCTTTCTGCAGCTTGTTGCTACACAGGATTCATTTGTATGTCTGGCACAAAGGTGTCCAACCTCATAAAGCAGATGAGTGGGGTACACTCTCATTCTATATCTGAAGAGACAATCAAGGCATAATCTGATGCAGGCAAGAATGTGTCCTTAAAAACATTTTTGACGATGGGTGATGCTCCAGCCATAATGTCCTTTATTACCTTGTAATACAAGTTTCCAATAGAAGTGAAGAAGTGTTGTACCAGGCATGGGCAAGTCTAGAATTTTTCTGATGGGGTAATCTCGTGCTTGTCCCTGCAGTGTTATTGCATCATGGGCAAGTCCTTAACAGAGTAGGAGTAGTCTGTAGATAAGGGGCATATAAGACCCTTGATGGAGGCTGCAATAAGCTGGACTGGTGGTCCTCCTGGAGTTGGTGGCTTCACATCTTCTGGCATCTCATATATGTTTTTATTGACACAGAGTGTCAAGAGGGCATCTATGACTGATAAAGGTACCTGAATGGCATACTGAGGATGAGCTGGCTAAATGGCAGTAAAATTAATATATGATGTACCTCAAATGGATAGTGATACTTTTTCCTGTGGCCCACAACCATGAGGTAGGTCAATGAAACCTCATATGTGTAGCAGAGCAGGATCCTAAGTACTGCATGCATGCAAACATACAGCAGGTCCAGAGTCTTATTAGAAATCAAGATCAAGTAGTCTATAGAGGGCTGGAGGACCACAGCAGACAAACAAGATCAAGATGTATCATTGCCTAGCATAGTAATGAAGGGATGCATCAAGATTGAGTGATAATTAAAGGTTGTCATGATATGAATCTCACTTTCTGGATGAATCCCCTGAGGGCAAGTGGTGTCCAGAATAAGAGCACAAGATGGTGTATTTGCTGAACACATATAGGTATTGAGTATTAATTAAATTTCATGATAGATGTCATAGTAATAATTTTCATCTGAGTGTACAACCCCTTGAGGAGATAGAGTTGCTGGGACAAGGACACATAGGGAGGTGCCACTGCCATCTTTTTTGAGTGCATGACCTGAGGAGCATATATCAATATAATGGCCTGAAAATGTCTAGTCATACTATTACTCCTATTTGCTGTTCCACCAAAGACCTGGAGTGCAGCTCTGTCATTGTGATCATCAACAATATGGCATCAGATGTCCTTTCAGCCTCTGAACTCTTTGCCATATGTGGAAAATAGGCAGGAATAACCATTTTCAGACATGGCCACCATGTACTGCCGTCAATTGTGGATGAAAGAAATTGTGACTGAGTGGTAGCAATATTTATGTTTCCCATGAGCACTGGAGCTCTCAAAGGGACCCTCATTGCAGTCAAGAATGAGACAGTATTCAGATGTGGACATTAATGATGATTCAGTAGTAGACGATAGGTGTCAGTAATTCTGCTATATTATTGGGGGTGCATGTGGTGTGGATGCACACTCATCCAGCAATAGGGTCAAATGTTCTACCACTCCGACTAAACCCTCAGCAAAAAAGTGTCTCAGGCCCCATCCAAAAAATGCTGATTGGGGCAAACAAGCCCAATGAAAACACCTTGAGAAGTCCTTGGGCAATCTTGCTCAAAAGATGGTCACTAGAGCAAAGCAGAATCCAAGTAAGTGCCAACTCAGTATTTCTACTGTCATTCCCCAACTCTTTTGCATCAGTTAAGTTTGAGTTTTCCATACACAAGGAGATGCACAGTCCATTGTCTGCCCATGATCCAATTCCTCCCTCATGGACTGACTGGGATTATATGCCTGGTGAACCTGCTGTACCTAAAATGGTAGTCGACAACGATAGCATTCCAATCCTTCTTTGGATGCTGCAGTTCCTCACAGAGCGCGCTCATGTAAGATCTTCATTCATTTTCCAACCCTGAAATCTTACAATTCTAACTAGGACAAGCTCAACAAAGTTTTGGTAAAGTTTGGGCAAGCAACAAGAGCACCCTATCTATGGGCAGCAGTGCCAATTCTTTTGGGAGAAATAAGCGGTCTGCATACAGGTTTGCTGAGGGAGAGATATCTGGCTGCATCAATGTTGTGCTATGGCATGCCCTCGGTCACACCATGAGTGAACTCCTCCTTATAGTACATTCCAGTTGAACTCTAATCTTCCCAGAAAAGTTAGCCAATCCTGTCAAAGGCACAGCTGGGGTCTTTAGCTTGCTTCTCTGCCTGTAAGGAGCTAACCCATCAACTTTCTCTGGTGTCCCATTGCCTTAACGAGGTCCTCAAAATCCTTGACCCAGGCACCTATAAATCCCACAATGAACTCTGCAACGCCCTTATGGAACGCTACGCCCACATCCAATCCCAAGCCAGCATCAATCCATCTTTATTCCAAGGCCATTTGGTTATTTACAACCGACAGACTCCCAATCATGTCGATTGCAGAGACCCCCACCTTGCATGAACTCCCCTTTTCACACTAGGATCATTCAAGGGTGGTAAATTGTGTGTCCAGAAGCTGGGGCTTAGAATGTGGTATGGTCCTAGGGCTTGTGTCTTCATTCATGGAGCCATATTCCCTCACAAGATCAAGTTGTTTGATGGAGGCCAACATATTTCCATTGCTCATTTTTGTCATGACTCCATTTGGAAAGAGATGTTGCAGCAGTGAGAAGTGTTGCGGTGTGTATTATGTAAGTGTCACACAATTTTTTCGAACATTCCAACCACCCACTCACCAACTGATTCACATCACACTGATGGCCAATAGCAAACGGAAACATCAAGGCATCCACAGTGAGGCATCCCGGGCGGTTTGGAGGGCCAAGTATCTGGCAAAACGAAAGGAGAAGAAAGTGAAAAGTGCTGTGGAGCAACAACTATGTGAGTAGTATTGTTTCTCATTGCAACACTAGATGATCTTACCATGTGGAATGGTGCTATTAGACTCTCACCCCATTGAAAATTTCCCTGCCGAGTTTTAAAAAGCGAAGCCCGATGGTGCTCATGTTTGGAAACTTGTCAAGAAGAAGTATACCACTTTTCCTGAGGACCTTGAAACCCTTCAAGAAAGTGGCAAAATTGTTGTACCACTATGGGACCTCCCCTCATCCATTAAAGTCCCCAATGGCCTCCCCCCCAATCTGATGATTCGATTTGATCATTTCATTCCTGCTAAAGTTCAAAAGCACCTACAGATACGCTGGGATGCTATCATTGCCAGTGGTGCACAGCATAATGGGGGCAAGCGTGATGCCAATCATTCTGCCACTGATGCCTTCCACTTCGGTATATGGGAGGTGTCCAGTGCCCTGCCCCATTTGACTGCAGATACCAGCACTAGTCATCAGTCCCCGGAGGCCATCACAGTCATCGACACTTTATTGCAGTACATTGGCGATTTTGTCGCTCCCAAAATTGGTTCAGTGTTTAAGCAGCACACACCTACCCATTGGGAAGCTATGCAAAAGTATGTATATATCCTAGTCTGTTGTCTACTAATATACTGACTAGTTTGGTCTAAGGGCGTATGAGCGTGTCAAACATATTCTAGCTAGTGATCTGCTGGACCGCCCTAGCCTTGACTTGGGTGGCAATTTTTTTTCGGTTGCTGTCAAAGAAGGAGGGTCAGGTCTGGTCCACCTGGACTGGAATAACAGCAAAGTGATCTGGTGTTTTGTATTTGCTGTTGGGAATTGGGAAGGATGGGAATTCTGCACACCACAGCTGGGTATCAAGATCCCCATACAACCTGGCCAAGTATTTGCAGTACTGGCTCACATGGTTGCACACTTCAGTGCTCCTGTAACTAATGGGCACAGGATTGTTTTCACCTGCTTTACTGATAAATTGGCATTCTCTCATGCAAACCCTAACTTCGTAATAGGGTAGTGCATTCAAGTTGATTCAATATACTTAGTATACTTCCTAACTTTGTAGTAGGGTAGTACATTCAAATTGATTCAACATACTTGTCACACATCTCCCTGCAAACTATACACTCCGTCCAGCTCCACTGACCTTCAATAGTCTTCATCTTAAGAAGCGAGATCCAAATGTGTGTTGGTATGCCGGGTAGTCGCCAGCACGTTTGAGATGAGGGTCAACGATCACTACCATCTGCAAAGCATCACCATAAGCATGACCAGCTCCAACATGCAACCGTAGCAGCCATTCAATCAATGGTTGCACCCCAGTCAGACTACCTAACTTTCAATCCTCAGTTACAACAGGGGGGGGGAAATGCATACCGTGATGCTCTGCATATCCAGATGCTCTGACTTTACAGACGCACAAAAGAGTGCTGCAGCATGATCAAATGTTATGACAGCTCGGGAACGGATAGCTGAATTTACTATAGGGGAAAGGGAAGCTGAGACAGGTAAAGGTGACCAAAATTCCTACATATAAATGATTGCTCAGCTGTTGCCCAGCACGCTGATGAAGGAAGTTATACCTGGAGAAGTTCATGCAAGACTTGCCACTTTGTAGTCAAAGGTCCACAATCAAAGCACCAGACCAAAGCTTCAGCCACTCAAGCTTCCCTGACTTTCGGCTCGCTCACACCGACCAACATCGCTGGAGAGCCATTGAATCTCTGCTAAAGCAAGAAAGCCCACTATGCTTCCACATGTCCCACTTCGAAGTTGCGAGATGATGTCTCTTAAGATAGCTGCTTCAGGGTCTTCTGGTATCTGAAGCAATGTTATAACTAGTGCCAGTACTAGAGAAAGGAAACAGGAGCGATGTGAGAACATTGAGAACATAAGTCCGAAGGACGGATGACATGGACACAGTGTCGCCACACCAAATACATCTCTCGATAGCCAGCTACAAGCTCGTGAGCAACCTGAGCAGGCAAAGTGCAATGTCGGGCCACATACATCATCTACGGCGTCAACAGAGCAGAAAGGACGAGGGTCTCGTGAGGCAGGTCATTCGAGCGCTTCAACGCATAACGAAGAATAGTTTCATGCAGTATCATGATAAGCGAGGAGTTCTGCCCTCCTTACACTGAGTTGTCTCAGTCAGCACTATAGTACTCCCAGTTGCAAACAAATTGAGAGTCGTACTTGACACGAAGGGGAGGTGCAACGAAAAGCCCCCTGTGCCCAATGTCCCATCTCGCTCATTGTTTCTCTGTCATGACGGATCCATGACACGAACGGACCAACAAATCTGAAGTAGTTCATCTGCTTGATTCTTAGCAAACGTGAACTTGAAAAGTTGAACTCATCCAATTCTCACATCATAAGTGGTGATGTTGGAGTGAACATGCAAAAAACGTACATTTGTTGGTAGGCCGAGTCCATTGCATTCATCCACCAAGAACATGTTGGCGTGCGATGAATCAAATGCTTGTGCCACGTGTAGCACCAGTCCCAACATCATCAGCGATGCAGATATTCCGCTATAGTGCAGCATTCCCTGCATGCATCTGAGCCACCATTTGCTCAACGGCAATGAGACTTGTATCTTGTCACTTGAAAAGATGACAATTAGACTCATCTCAAAGCACATCCACGTGCATGTCATACGTGATCTATACTCGTGTTTAAATGATCTCTATGTGGCACTTCGTGCAGTACCCCCGTCTTTCTGATTGTCTGCCAATCTTTACTGATCTGAGACTGTTGTCATACCAGCATCTGTGCTTGCTCCCAATAAAGCCTCACACAAGCACAAGAACAGCCTGAGGGAAAAAAGACTCCTGTGCAGGATTGGTGTAAAGATCATGGGCAGAAGTGCGACACCTCATATGCTTACCCTGATGCGAAAGATGACAGAACCCCAATCCCAACTTGATGCAACATATCAGCCCAAAAATCTACTATGAAACGAGTCACAACACACCATGATGTAGCAAGATATAACTGGCACTTTGATATCCTGGTCTGCGCACTCTACAAGTGCTGGTTTGGGAGTGGGCATAATGGGAAGATTCGTGCAGTGTGAGGCCTAGACAAGATCGTGTGAGGGGAATAGTGTCATGCGATGGCGAGTCAGACAACTCGTCACAGACAGTAACAGAAATTTCCATTGGGAGGACATCGGAAACCTGTTCGGCGTGGATGCCTGCCAGGATGCAGATCACACTGAAAAAGAATGTCAGATGGATCACTCGACTACCGGGCCAAGGATATAATTTGTAAGTACTTACACAGGCAAAGACATAAGTCGGAGCGGATATTAATATGTACGCGTCGGATCAGTGATCAAGTGGTAAGAGGAGTTACCGGTGATCCGGAAGTAAGGGTCTATGTACCGAAGGGGAAAGAGGTTCCAGTTGAGTGGAGACGTTCTAGAAGGTGGCCGGTTGGGTGGTTGAGTGGAAGCGTAGGAGCGGAGGATAGATGGGGTGGAGGTGGTCGGAAGGCGGAGTGGATATTGATATTGGAGTGGTCGGATCAATAATCAAATACCAATGACCAAGGACTGATGATCAAGTGCTGACGATCAAGGACCGAGTACATGTCATCGACACAAAACCATTAAACACCACATAGTGGACATTGAATAACCAAAGACCGAGGCCTGAGCACAGAGTTTCGAGTACTGAACACTAAATGCCATCCTGGTAGGTGCCCAGTGCTTGGCAATTGGCAGTTGGCCCATGGAACTTGATTGTCGATGGTTGGGTGTGCAAGGGTTTGGTGATTGGGTGTCAATGCCATCTACTCAGTATTCAATGCCTGATCTGAGGTCCTGAGTGCCAAGTGCCAAGTGCCAAGTGCCAAGTGCTGAGACTGAGAAGGTACTGGTTGGTTCTCGGTCATCGGTACTCAATCATTGAGGTTTAATGGCCGATACCATGACCTCAGTACTCAGTATCTGATGCTCAATGCACAGGAAGTTGAGTACTCAGTCATGGTTTCAAGTATTTCTATTCAATGGGGCCGGGCTGGGAAGTCAAAGTGACTCTGCTATTCTAGGTGTATGCTGGAAGTCACATATGATGATAGTACACTAATGTAAATATCATGTTCGTATGCTGTCTACATCTTCAGATATCCTACTTTGACCCTGGTGAATTTGGGTCTCAAACCATTGAATCAGTGAACACACAACCTTGAGCATTTTGATGCTTGCCTGCTCAGCCCTCTGCATCCTTTGAACCTCCTGATTGGTCTGCTCCAGCTTATAAGATGTCTCTGCCCAAGCAGATCAAAATGGTCGCTCTGCCTCCAGGAGCTGTGGTATGGACGGGTCTGGAAGACTTCCATGAGTATGTATGAAGTTGGTCAGTGGTGTCTGAATGTTTTGCACTAATATAGCCATAAGCACCAAGCGATAATATAGGAGTGCAATTGATACTCACATCCTATATCATGGTATGACCTAAATGGCTGGAATTCCCGAACCATGGCATGGAGCTCTTTATTATTGAGTGCTGGATGTGCACAACATGATTTGACAAGCACCAGGGGAAGGCCCTCATGTCATGCATCTTCTGCACAATAAAAAAGATCAAGTGCATTTTGGCACATCTCAGGGCCCTTACACCCACCTCTCGAAGAAGGTCCACCAAGTGGCTGAGAGGATTGTTGACAGCCCCATCGACATCACAGTCAAAGGTCCAGATCTGAAGCCAGTCCCAGGGCCCATCAGTAGCTCCAAGTGAGCCTCAGGGTAACCTGCTGAAGCCACAGCCCCAGGGCCACAGCAAGGCCCCTAGCTCAGTGATAGCACCAGTCTTGCCTCCAGTTGGTAAGTACTATCAATTCATTATACCTTGACTATTATTGATTGAGATCAAGCAATTGCATCATCAAGTGTGGCAGTGCTGCATGCACCAATGGATCTACCAATGCCAGATCTTCACTTGATGGTGATGGCAATCTGGGACAGTGCAAATCACATTGCTGCTCTCAAGACTTGGGTTGTCAATCAGTGTTACGCTGATGGTAATCAGAGGAGGTTTCAAGTCAATTAATATACTAGAGGTGGCACTCTAGAGAAGTCAGAGGAATCAAGGATGAATTCACTAGTGTCTAAATAGTGGTCTGAGGATGTATCTGGGTAATTCCAGTGTAGGTCAAGATGAGGAATTATTGAGACTATGACCTGCTTATATACGATAGTAAGTCAGGGTCCAGGGTCTAGGGTAAGTAAGTAATATGTCTATATAAGTATAGATAAGTGTCCATGGGAATACACACAGTGTATGCATGTTAAGGGTCTGTGAGAATACACCAGGTATCAGCATGTAAGTAATATCTGAGGACTTGCCGAGGATAGATCAAGATTGATCACAGATCAATGAATAGAAGTGTGTACCTGTGATAAGGTGAAGTTGGAGAGTAACCCTAGATAGGGTAATATCAGGAAATGGTGATACTGTGACATGGTGTCAATGTGAAAAGGTGAAGATGTGAAAGGGTGAAGATGTGAAAGGGTGAAGAGGAAAATGAAATGCCCAAGTCCAAGAGCAAAAGAGCAGGGCTTGGAAAAGGTAATATTCAGACTGATGTATCTACAGACAAAGTACATATGTTTATATACTCTAAGGGATAAGCATAGCATAGCAGAAGGTTATGTGCTGAGTGTACCAAAGGATGACTGAGACATACGAAGCGGAGGCTCAGAGAACAATATGTACGTGACAGATCAATAATCCTCAGGTACAGGAATTACTAGTGATCCGAAAGGAGGAACTACAATACTGAAAGGAGACAGGACAAGTTGAGTGGTTCCTAGTCTAGGAGTGGACTGGTGAGGCAGTTGGGCTGGCCAACACAAGAGAAACTGGAGGAACAAAGTGGGTTGGAAAAGCAGAAATGGTGGAGGGAGTAGGAGTAGAGTCAGGCGGACTGACAGAGCAGAGGAGCGGAGCTCCAGATAGGGTCGGATGGTAGGGATATAGAGTTGGAGGAAATAGGGGTAGTGTTGGAGGAGTGGAACAGAGTCGGGCGGAGGTAGCAGGGCTAGTCCTGCTGAGATGCACTTAATGCATTGAGTGAAGGTACAATTTTGTCAAAGAAGTTATGTGAGGCACAGAAGGTGACCATTAAACATTAATAGCTACTCTAGTGAAACAATCAGATGAGCAATTTTTCCTGCATGAATAGACTAGTAAAATATTTTGCATTAGCTTCAGTGCACCAACGACAATGCTGATGTGGCATGTCCAAGCTTTGAATTTACCTCCCAGAGAGATGAATCTGTTGGATTGTCTTTGTTGATTGTGATTGTAGGTATGCTGTATTTTGTTGATTTGAGAACCTGTTGTTGGATTCCAGATCAAAGTCCAAAGGTGAGATGCCAGAGTGAGATATTGTGAGTGCTACCCAAAGGCACAATGAAGGATGAAGTGACATCAGTCAAGGTACACAATATGCAACCATTTATTTTATCTATGCTATCTTATATTACATATCACTATGCTAACTACATTAAAGCTACACATTGTATGAATGAGCATCTCAGTCCATTTCCCCAAGACTGAGATGTGAGTCAAAGTCCCCCATTTTCATTATCGCATCAGAGCTGACTATACCTGTAGAATATATTTGTTCTAGCTCTTTCTTTGTTTGCCACTCACCTAAACTTGCTTTACCTGTGATAGTAACATAATTCTGCATGTGCAAAAATGGTTTTCTACATGCAAATACAGTGGCTCAAAAAACTGTCCACATGTTTTCACATTTTTCACTATCTATGATATTGTATGAGAATATACAAACACATCAAGGACATGCTGGTACGATATTATAGTACTACTTCAGGGCTTTCAATTGAGCACTATGGTGTGGGAATCGGTTGAGATATGGTGGAGATATGAGGCTTACAAAATGATGACTCATGTGGACAGTTTTTTGACTCAAGTATTTTACAGTGATAATCAGGTATTCTAGTACATTGTGTGACCTCCCTTGGCTTTAATTACTGCCTCTATCCTTCTAGGCATACTCTTGAAACTATATCTAACTATATAAACCAGAATGTCTCATGTGTCATGGTCATAATCACCATGAAAGCCATCTCCTCTGCTCAAAGGGACACTATCCTCTCTTTGTCCTATGCTGGCCTCTCTGTTCATCAAATTTCCTCTAGAACTGAAGTATGCAAGTCTACTGTGGCCAAGTGTATCAAAGAAAGCCACCTGGACAAGGAAAACTCTTGTGGAGGATGTCCATCTCTACTAATAAGAGGGCTATCATCCAATATATCACTACAGGAAAGGCTAATAATGCTGTCCAAGCCACCTATTATATCAATTCCACCATCACCACCACTGTCTCTTCACAAACTGTGAGGGATGTTCTCAAGGCAGTTCATCTCAAGGCAGTTCATCTCAAGACAGTAACAAAAAAGAAATGCCTCTTCTCTCTATCAAACATAGACAGAGAAGACTACCTTTGGCTTGGCCCATCAAAACTGGACTGTAGAGGACTTGAAGCATGTTATATGGTCATATGAGACCAAAATCAATAGGATTGGGTCAGATGGGAAGGTATATGTATGGAAAAAGAAGGGGGATTCTCTAACAGACAGAGATGTTAGTGAGACTGTCAAATGTGGAGGAGGTTCTCTAATGGTATGGGGATGTATGGGATGGAATGGTGTGGGTATGCTTGCTGAAGTTGAGGGGAGGATGGATGTTAAGCAGTATGTGGACATTCTAAATGACCACTTGCTGCCTAGCATAGCTGAATCAGGGATCAATGAAGAAGACATCATTTTCCAACAGGATAATGATCCCAAGCACACATCTAGGAGAGCCAGAAAATGGTTTGAAGAACATAATATCAATGTTCTTGACTGACCAGCACAGTCCCCTGATGTCAATGTCATTGAACATCTCTGGGGAACACTCAAGAAGAAGCTTCAAGCCTCTGAAACCCCCCCTAAATGAGTATGGGAGCTATGGGAGAGAGTAGCAGTGGAACAGGGAAGGATTACGGCAGAATATTGCCAGAAATTAATTGAGAGTATGCCTAGAAGGATAGATGCAGTAATTAAAGCCAAGGGAGGTCACACAATGTACTAGAATACCTGATTATCACTGTAAAATACTTGAGTCAAAAAACTGTCCACATGAGTCATCATTTTGTAAGCCTCATATCTCCACCATATCTCAACCGATTCCCACACCATAGTGCTCAATTGAAAGCCCTGAAGTAGTACTACAATATCGTACCAGCATGTCCTTGATGTGTTTGTACATTCTCATACAATATCATAGATAGTGAAAAATGTGAAAACATGCAGACAGTTTTTTGAGCCACTGTAAGTGAGGTGGTGCAGAAAGCCTCTTGCTTCTGACCACCTCGCAGTCATTTATTGGTCTCAGTCCAATGTCTAGTTTCTACATCTTTTGCTTCTTTTCAAGGCTCTACATAGCCAGTATGGACCCTAACAATGCAATTAGACCAGACTACACTCTACCAGAGTTCCAAGGAGAGTGTTAACAACTGATAGATGAAGGTTTACACCACACACCAAGTCAGTCCTGAGTCCTAGGTCCCAAGTCCTGGGTCCTAAGTTCCAAGTCCTGATCACCTATAACCAACCACTCAGTACTGAGTACTGAGCACCAAGTACCATATTCTAGCCCATTGGTCTATACAATCTACAGTTCCATGGGTCTGTTAGATACCGTGCTGACTCAGGAAGCAGAGGGGTCGGGGCTTGGCTCCAGCTCTTGCGCTGCGCCCTTAGCCGAGTATGTGCCCTGAATTTGGAGCGGGTCCGACATTGTCCGATGGTAGGACAAGTGGACCGCTTGGGTCCGCTTTGGGGGTTGGGGAATAAGAGCTGCTACCGGTGGACCGACTAGAAGCGGAGCAGAGAAAGCGGGGAACAATGCGGAGGGTGGATAGGAACCAGGGAGATATTTTGATAGGAGCGGAGATGGCGGAGGATAATGCAGAGGATAAGAAAAGGGGTGATAGGAGGATATTGATAGGGGCGGGGTAACAAGGGAAAGACTTAGAGCACGGCTCTAAGTCGGAGTGGAGGGTCGGAGGTGACAACAAGTTGAGACTTGTGTCCAGAGGGGGCAGGGTCCTACTGAGAATTCTCACAGGATATAACTGCGAGGAGACAAGTAATATTAAGACTAAGGAAAAATATCTAAGTACATGATATGTTATATACTACTATGTATGAGGCAGTGATCAGGATAACTATGCAGTAAGGCTATGTACCAAGGATATAGTTTGTAAGTATTTTACATAGGCGAAGACATAAGTTGGGGCGGATATCAATATGTACGCATTGAATCAGCAATCCAGTGGTAATAGGAATTACCGGTGATCCGGAAGTAAGGGTCTATGTACCAATAGAGAAGGCATATATCTAAAAGGGGAAAGAGCTCCAGTTGAATGGAGAGGTTATGGAAGGGGACCAGTTGAGCGGTTGAGCGGAAGCGTAGGGCGGAATGCGGACTTGTGATAGGATGGAGCAGAGGATGAATGGGGCGGAGGGGTCGGAAAGCGGAGCGGATATCAATATCAGAGCGGTCGGATCAGGTATATGACAGGGTCCATCCGTCCATACAATCAATAGTTTCACTGACCCATCTGTCTATATAATGTACAGTTCCATAGGCCCATCTGTCTATATAATTTACATTTCCATGGGCCCATCTATCTATATAATTTACAGTTCTATTGGCCCATTGGTCTATATTCCATTGGCCCACTAGTCTACATTATTCAAATATCTCGGCCCTCCCATCTCTATCAAAAGTGTCATTTGAGTTGGTTCATGAACCTGAGAGCTCACAAACTCAAAAAAGTGCTTACTAAGCGAGGTGTGCAGCTCAAGTCCCATTTCTTGGGGTTGACGTGTCTTGTCTTCTTACCTTCACACATTCACCTCTTTGTTTTCAGTTGAGAATTCTCGCATCTTTTCCTTCGTCAAACTCTATATCTATTACATTATGACGAACTTAGAGAATTTCTGGGCCCCCTTGAGGTGCAGGAGGTAAAAGCATACAGTCGGATGGGGATTACGACACTGTCGCCTCCTTGGTGGGGAAAAGGAAGGCAGTCTCAGTAGACCCTGAAGATCACGAAGCTGTGATTGAGGAGAACCTCAATCAAGCTGACCGCAATATAGAGTGTGCTCAATGTTGGGATAATCCAGAGTACATTGAAGTTGTCTCAGACCACAAGTCCTTCATGGAGGAACTCCCAACACCTCCTTCTACTCCTGCTCCTAGGTCTTATGCCACTAACAAGGCTGTGCAGCTCCTCAATCTCATTGGGTCTCTTACACCTTCCACAAAGAAACTAGTTCATGCACTCTCCAGAGACCCACATGTGCATGTTCCCTCTCCCTCAATGGCTTTAACTACCACTTCAGCAGCTATTCCTGACTCAGATGCAGTAGTATTCAAGGCCTCTAATACCGTCTTTACAAAGACGAATGACAGGATGTTCAATATCCCACAACCCATTCTTAACTTGACTAAAGCAAAATTGCATGTTCCTCTCACGCTTCTAACCAGTGACACTTTGTGGAGGATCCATGCCAACCCTTCTTCCATCAAAATGAAGAAAGGACTCGTGTTGAGCGATCCCAAGCTCGTTGTCATGGATGCAAGTGCAGGATTTCCCGTAGAGACTTCTCTTCCAGCGGATCAATACTATGAAGCCACCAACAACTTTCTGAGACTTATGGACAAGATAGCCAACACAGAGACAGTCAAACATTTCACAGACCATTGCCAATTCTGCATAGATCTGGAGGACTTCAGCCTCAACTTCGAGGCCGTTCTGAACTTCAACATAGAAATATGTTGACGCTTCTTTAACAATGAATATTTTCCAGATGCAGCTGCTTATCTTCGCCATTGGAACAAGATCAACATAAAAACCACGCTTGCAGCTAGTAGGCCCAGTGGGTCAGGGTCAAACTCTCAGTTCAATCTCTACCCACCTCATAAAGCTGCCAACGACAGTTCGTCATCTGTTGATGCGAAGTCCTTTCGGAAGGGCAAAGGGTCAGCTCCTACCGACACGACCCTTTGCATCATCTGCGGTCAGCATGGTCACAGAGCCAGCAGTTGTACCTTCACACACACCATCAAGAACACCCCAATCATCAGCACATGGATCGGAAAGCTTCTGCTCAAAACCAATCAGTCCCCCATTTGTATCTTCTTTAACCTCGGTTGATGCAATGCCCCGACGAATCATCACCCTGTATGATCCCCAAGCTTACAATTCACTATTGCATCAATACAACCTTGCACACGTATACCCTAATATTGTCTTCAACCTGCAGCATGGTTTTCCTATCAGCAACATGCCACCACTCACAAAAATGTATATCCTCAAGAATCACAAGTCAGTGCTTGATAATATTGACATCATCTGCACATATTGCCTCGACGAAGTTAAGCTTAGCCACATGTTGGGCCCATTCTCAGTATCAGACATTCACAACATCTTAGGCGGCCACTTTGCTTCATTGCCCTTGGGGGTTGTAGAGAAGTCGGGCAAGCCTGGGAAGTTTCGTGTCGTTCACAACCTTTCATATCATAATGCAGATGGGTTCTTAGTGAATGGGCTGCTCAACTCAGACGACTTCCCCACAGAGTGGGGAACAGCTTCACAGTTCATCTGTATCTTGTTCGCTTTGGCGATTCCTCACAACTTCGGTTGTTTTTCAATATGTGTTCTCACATCTTCACCTCAGGTCACCTTGGCGCCATTTGGAGCACAAGCAGCCATTTTAGACATTGAAGCCACATATCGCACTGTTCCTGTCTGGCCCCCGCACAAGTGCTTCCTCGTTGTTGAGGTTGACAGAAGCCTTTTCATAGACCACATTTTTTCCTTTCAGGCTGGCTACTGCAGGGGGAGTTCAAGGTCACATTGCTGATGCAATGGTTGACATACTGGATTCAATGGAGCTTGGTCTGATAAAAAAGTGGGTCGACGCCCACCTCTTTTTTAGATACCCATCCAGTGGAGGTCTCCTTCTTGAAGATGACTCGAGATCTCCTCTCACGTACCAACATGACCTTTCGACTATCTACATCAGTTCACGTCCACTGGGCATGCCTTGGCACCCCAAAAAGTGGCATGACTTTGCCTTTATCTTCATCTACTTAGGTTCCCTCTGGGACCTTGCAAACCACACCGTGGACTTTCCGAAAAAGAAACAGGAGAGGTACCTCATGAAGGTAGCTCTAGTTGTCAAATTCTTGCTTCACTCTGGAAAGCTTTCCTGCAAAGACGCCATGAGCATCAATGAGACTCTGTGCTTCTTCTTCACTCCATCCACATCTTCTTGCTCGCGACCATATCCGTCTTTGGTCCACTCCACACTCTGACTCATTTCATTCTTCTCTTCTTGGCAAGCTTCCTTTCAACAATGTCTTGAACCTCTTCAATGTGATATTGGTGTCTATCAAAGTTAAAACGCGCGAAAACAACGGCATGGGCTTACTCTGGTTTCACCAATACTGCAACAAGAGGAAGATTCCAGACTCATGTTGGATGCCAGCGCTGGAATTTCTTCTTGCTGCATTTATCTCTTCTTGGGCTGGTAAAGTAGCAATGACAATGGCACAAAACTGGCTAGCTGAGATTCATTTTTGGCACACTCTCCATGGTGCACAATGGCATGGCCACAACATCCCTGGTCTAGCCACTTCTGGCCTCGCAAAACTTGTCCCTCCTTCTTCAAAATGCCCTGCAGACCTCCCATCACACCAGAACACCTTCACACTCTGCTGCGCAATCTTGACTTGACAAACACCTTAGACGAGTCAGTTTCTGCCATTGCAACCATTGCCTTTTGGTCCTGCTGCAGGTACACACTTCCTTTCTTTGTTCAGGCTGCATGTTCTAAGTACATCTTACCATTATTCAGACTCAGCAAACTCTTGGTAGATTCAATTAATTCCTTCAACCCTCTCCAACATGTCTCTCATTCAGCCTCTTTACGCTGCTATACCACCTCCACAGGAGTTCCCTTATGTGTTCTCACCATTCCATGGACCAAAGCCACTCACGGTGATGGTGCCAACATCATCATTTCTCACATTGATGATCCTTGTAGTCCAGTAGCAGCACTCAACCACCACCTCACAGCAAACACCTCTGTTCCACCCGATGCACCTTTCTTTGCCTTCAAGACGGCATCCAGAGGCTGGTCACCCATGTGTTGTTTGTGGTTCGTCAACAGTTGCAATGAGGTTTGGAAGAACACTGGCCTGCCAGAACTGTCAGGGCATTGCTTTAGAATTGGGGGGGCAACAGAACTGCTTCTCAGAGGCACACCTCCCGACATTGTAGCTATGCAAGGCCACTAGAAATCGTGGGCGTTCCTAGAATACTGGCACAAAATAGACTCCATCCTTCCCATGTTCATTTCTTCATCATTTTCTGACTCATGTTTAGCTCTGATACAATCTTCAATGGACTCATTCTCACGTTGCTACAATTGATGTATTACTCAATGTCATAGACTCTAATCTCATGTCATTCCTCACTTGCTTGTATTAGGGGGGTCATAGGTGGAGCATGACCATTTGTGAGCTGCGCTTGTTATGGGTTGCCTTGTGCTCCCGAGTTTTTCTCCCTCTGCTACCTCACACTTGAGGTTTTCTGTTACTACTGCTTGCTTATGTCTCTTTGTCTTTCTCCTGTCAGTACAGTCCGTTTGACTTAACTACATGCTTAATTTCTCAGGTCACATGACATTGTCAAAATCACAACTCTTGACTACACGTGATCATTCCTAGCACTTGTACAGTGGCTCAAAAAACTGTCCGCATGTTTGTGCTATTTTCACTATTTACATTATTGTATATGAATGGACAGGTAGACTGTCATATACCGGATCCAAGCACCTCCAATACAACCTGTGAACATCCCCACCCCTGGTCCGACCCCCTGTTTCCCTGTCCACCCCATTCCTCCTTCTCCGACAATGCACGAAGTGCATCTCAGCAGGATTAGCCCTGCTACCTCCACCCAACCTGTTCCACTCTTCCAACACCACCCCTATGTCCTCCGACATTATACCCCTTCCATCTGACCCTATCTGGGGTTCCGCTCCTCCACCCTATCGGTCCACCCGATCCTACTCATACTCCCTCCACTTTTCCAACCCGCTCAGTTCCGCTCGTCTTGTCCCACCCAACTATTAGTCCATCTGACCGCCTCACTGGTCCACTCCTAGACTAGAACCACTCAACTGGTCCTATCTCCGTTTAGTATCATAGTTCCGCTTTTCGGATCACTGGTAATCCCTATACCCTAGCGATTCTGATCCGTCGTGTACATACTGTTCCCTGAGCCTTATTCTCATGTCTCAGTCATCCTATTGTAATCCTGTACACTCAGCACATAGCCTTCTGCTATGCTATGCTCATCACTTAGAGTATATAAACATATTGTCATATCCCATACCTCCGGATCCGGAATTCCGGATCTACTCCATTAAAGTCCAGTCCTCCGTCTTACTATTCCGCCTGGCGCTCTGCCTTCATCTCCACGCTCACCCCTAACTCCTTTTAGATTAGCTATTGCTCCGGTTACCGGTTATGTTCTTTCCGCTATGCTTATTGATCTGTCCATTCCTACTTCATTTCCGACTTCACTGCTTTGATCCGCTACACTTAGTAATAGACTTTCCACATGCTTTGTACATAGCCCTTACCTTTGCTGACTGACTTACTTACATGTTACCTACAGTATATAAACCCCTGTAATACTCCGGAACTCCTCAGTTCAAATATCATCTTAGTTCTGCTCATTCCTGCAATCTCCGGACTTGAGTCTCATCTCTTGTCCACCTCCGAGTCTTAGGGGTTAAACCTCAGGACTACTTCTCCGGCTCTACCTTAGGGTAGTCTAACCTCTGTTCAGTTTCTACTCCGGACTTCCATAGTAGCCTTACTCCGTCCCAGTATAAACCTCCCGGAGTTCCGCCAAACTCCACCGACACTAAGTCCTCCGGAACTCCCCGGACTTCCGTTGGACTTCCCCTCTGTCCCCCGGAAATTAAAGGGCACGTACTCGGGTAAGGGGCGCAGTGCACAAGCTGAAGCCGAAGCCCTTTGAGTAACCTCTCCCTTGAGCACGACCTTAACACATATGTACATTTGTCTGTAGATACTTAGTCTGAATATTACCTTTTCTAAGCCCTGCTCTCTTGTCCTTGTTCTTGGGCAAAAACCTTGACAACTCCTGTTTGCTGGCCTAGGGGATTGACTCCCTAGGTCAGCCACCTCCTCTGCTCATCCGACTTCCCACGCCTCCACCGCCTTTCTCGCACATCAGACTTGTGGCCAATCCTCTCATCCCTCCATCCTCCATGTTTCAGTTCTGCTTCGGACTTCATCTGAGCAGTCTCCTCTGCTCTGCTCCTACTGTTAGCTCCGACTGCAGTAGCCCTCTGACTCTCCCCTGTAGGGTGGACCAATCTCTGCCCGACATTCTCACGCTTATCTAGTAGTCCATTGGTCCTCCTTCAGAACTCAAGTCAGACTACAATCCGAAATTAGGGGCACATACTCGGATAAGGGGCGCAGCGTACGAGCTGAAGCCAAGCCCCTCAGACTCTGCCTTACCCCTGAGCATGGTCTTAACATAGACCAAGGTTATGCTAGTAGGGTACTCTGCGGTACTCCATTGGGGTGTGAATTTGAGCCCTTGCCCGTGGGAATCCATGATAATGTGGTGGCACTATAGGCCTTACAAAATGATGACTCATGTGGACGGTTTTTTGACCCAAGTATATTACAGTGATAATTAGCTGTTCTAGTATTTTGTGTGACCTCCCTTGGCCTTAATTCCTGCCTCTATCCTTCTAGGCATACTTTCAATCAACTTCTGACAATCCTCTACTGTAATCTTTCCCCGCTCCACTGTAACTCTCTCCCATAACTCCCATACTTCTTTAGGGGGGTGTTCATAGGCTAAAAGCTTCTTTTTGAGTACTCCCCAGAGATGTTCAATGACATTGACATCAGGGGATTGTGCTGGCCAGTCAAGGAGGTGAATATTGTGCTCTTCAAACCATTCTCTGGCTCTTCTGCATGTATGCTTGGGATCATTATCCTGTTGAAAAATAATGTCTTCTTCATCAATTCCTGATTCTACCATGCTAGGCAGCAAGTGGTGGTTGAGGATGTCTATATACTGCTCAGCATCCATCC